TTGAAAAATTAATAAGTTTCATATTCTGTAATAAACTACCACCAGAGGCTATTTTATACAGGAAATTTTATGCAGAAAAATTATGAATTAGGAGGATAGCTTTGTATGAAAAATATAGTCATAGATAAATTGATAAGCTGTCTGAGACGTGCTACAAAGTAACCGGGAGAGAGGAAGAAAGCAGTATAAACAAAATGTGATCCTCCATGAATATAATTGTTTAATTGTTGAAATGGAATATTGAGTCCATAGGTGATTGTCCCTTAGTGTTCCCACTATGCAGTTGCCCTTGCAATCCATAGACAATTGATTTTAGGATCTGTGAGGAGAGCATGATCTTCAGATACTAAGGTTCTTTATATGAAATGGTATATCCACAGTATATATGTGTATCGATGCCATGTGGTACCCCATAAATGTGTAAAATGTTATGAATCTATAAAAAATTTTATTTAAAAGGAAAAAGAAAAAACAAAACAAAACAAAGTGGTGTAAGGGTACAAGTAATACAGAACTACAAAAAAAAAAAAAAAAACAGTAAGAAATCACCAGTTAATAGATTATACATTATCATCTTAGAGATAGTTGCTCAAGTCATAGGATCAAAGCATACAAAGTGGGCATTCAAGCAGTGAGACTGCAAACAGTTGTGTTCAATGATCCAACCAAAAACATTAATATGGTCAGCTATTTAACACCCCTAAACACACTTGCTGTTGTATCCTTTAGAGCACTTTTTTTCCCTCTCTTTTTTACAACAAAATTTACACATTTTGGGTTTTATTACTCCTTAGTTCTTATTACTTTTTTTGGAAGAGAATAAAGTCAAATATGGCAAAACCAAGAAAGTTATTCAAACTGAAAATAACTACCTACAGCTTCCCACATACTATAAATCCCCTCCACTTTATTGAGATGACACCCATGGTACATAAAGAGTGTCCTACGACACCTATGGTACGTAAACAGTGTACTATGTTGTTTAGGGAGAAATTATAAGCCAAAAAGGCTGTATGTATTCATCATACATTTTTTCTAACTATTTTTGACCCAAAATTGACTAAATCCAAATCCACAGGACTTGCAGCAACTGTAGATGCACAGGACTGGTTTTATTTGCATAAATTTGCAGTTATCCATAATAAAAAGTTATTAAAAAGAAAATAAAAGGCTAATGGTCTGTTACTCTGTAAGTCAGTTTAGCTAAGGATGGTATTTGAAGACAAGGTGCTTCTATTTGTTCAAAACACTGCCAAGAGAATCTCTTAAAAGTTTTTGTCTGGTATCATACTTCAGTGGGATGAGGATTTGATGATAGCCAGTTAGAGTTCTGCGCAGAGCTGTAGATTTTTCTTTGGAGCTAGTGACAGGAAGATATTCTGCTTCCTGTTTTCATTGAGCATGACTTTCCAGGTATGCTTTTCGCTCCTTTCCCGTAGGTGGAGTCTTCTGCCCCCTCTAGCTGAAGGGAAGCAGTGTCAGGACAGTAGTACAGAGGAGAGCCAGGTCACAGACAACTCGTAGCATCTTACTATTACTCTGCATTGATGGGGACCACATCTGGGTTTTTGTTATTATTGTTGTATCTTGCACTCCTCTTGAGAAGAAGAGTTCAAGCCTGTAAGTGAAAAGCATCTTTAGCATCCTCTGCATTTCTCTTTTTGTACCTTCTTGTCTTCTATAAAGGCCAAACTGCTGAGGGTCTTCGTTTTGCAGAAGGCAGAATCTGAGGAGGCTTGAACACACTGCTGTGAGCCGCTTTGCTGTGTTTCCTTGCTTGTCCTTTTATTTAATGATTTTATTTTTATTTTTATTTTATTAGTGCCTGTTTGTAATACATACTGATTACATTTGTTGTGCAGAGGTCATCCAAGGACACGTCTTAATTCTTTTTCTGTCCTCTTCCCCTCACTTTCTTCCCTCCCTTCATTTCTTGATCTTCTTTCTTTTGCAAAAGATCTGTCTCCCTGTTTTCTATGATCCATCTTTTATTTTGTTTTTCAATTTATTTATGCTTTGAATTTCTTATGTAAGAGAGACCGTGCAATGTTTAAGCTTGTGTGTCTGATTTATTTTATTTAACATTATGGTCTCAAGGTGCATCCATTTTTCTACAGATGACTCAAATTTATCTTTCTTTAATAGCAGAGTAGTAATCTTTAAAAAATATAAACATTGAGGTAACATTCACATAACGTAAAATTAACTTCTTAAAATAAATGATTCAGTGGCTTTTAGAGTCTTCACAGCATTGTACAAACACCACCTCCATCTAGTTTCAAAACATTTGCAACACTTAAATGGAGCCCGTGTCTGCTAAGAAGTCCCCATTTCCCCTTTCCCTTCTGACCTAGCAACCACCAGTCTACCCTCTGTCCCTTCAGATTTCCCTCTTCTAAGTATTTTGTGTGCCTTCTTGTTTTTCTTCAGGATATTGCATTTCACTTTCCAATAGTCAACGAATTCTTCAGTTTGTCCACTTGTCACATGTAGATGGCTTTAGATTGCTTTTTGGTGGTTACCCATGCTGAACAAGATTGTTCAGTCTTCAAAACACTCTAAATTCAACAAAGTTTCTACATTTCACATCAGTTCACAAGTCCAAGGCTCTTCCATTTTGGCCTAGATTCCCCTTAAGGTAGAAAGGTAGAGTCAAAACCATTGCCTTTAAAAATAGATGTCCACCACAGTTTTTCTGGGCATTAAAAGCAGATGATGGTAGCCTGTTCTTCTTGTCTTGCTTAATAAGTAGTGGTAGTGGGGCCAGAAATGAATGCATGACCTTTGTGCATGGCTTCTTTCATTTTAGTATCATGTTTTGGAGGTTCATCACATTTTGGTATTTTCCAGGGTTTCATTCCTTTTAATTAGTCCTCCTATAGTTGCAATATTCAACGCAGTACCTAACCAAGGAAACAATAATAAATGTTGAAATGAAAATGTGTACTGTGAGAATTCCCATCCTTTTGAAACTAGGTTAGCTTCCTACTTGGGTAGATTCTGATTTAAATCAAGCAAAACTTTATGGACTCTTCGGGTACTGTCAGTATAGATGTGAAATTCTTGTTTTAAAGGACCCATTTAAAAATATATCAAAAAATACAAACAACTTGCATGGGCTGGGGATGTAGCTCACTAGTAGAGCACTTGCCTTGGCATAGACAAGGCCCTGGGATCCTCAGTACTCAATAAAATAAAATGAAGTAAAATACAGGGCTGGGACTGTAGCTGAGTGGTAGAGAGCTTAACTTGCATGAGTGAGGGCCTGGGTTCAGTCCTCAGTACCACACATGCATATACACACACACAAAATAAAAATAAATAAATAAAATTATCAACCCTACAAGTGGATGATGATAGCCTCTGAGATAAGAAAAGACTCTGCACTGTCCCAGAACATGCAGGTAGTTATATCCCAGCACTGAGTTTCTGAAATTAGGATCAACATCTTCCCCATCACCAGGAAAGCTGCTCAGGTCAGTACTCCTTGAACAGCTGTCATATACCAGGCACTGTGTCCTGAAGAGATGTGGCCACAACTGAGACAGACACAGTCCCTCCACTGTGGGACGTAGGTGCTGGGGAAACTCCATTCCTGATTGGGCACTTAAGTCAACTTTGATAAACACTGATCCAGAGTCCTGGGCTTACCTGGGGAGCACATGGTTGAGGGAAGCATTGAGGAAGGGACTGTGGAGCCAGTCCACTGAGAGGTGGGCCGAAATTAACCAGACACAAGTTTGGGGAGACTGGTCTAGGAAGGAAAAGCATCTGCACAGGCTGGAAGGGCAACAAGAGCTGGAAAAATGGAGTCCACATGGCTCGTAGACAGACTGGAGCACAAATGGACAGAAGACAGCCAGGCCTAGTGGTGTGGCCCTGTAATCCCAGCTACTGGTGAGGCTGAGGCAGGAGGATACCAAATTTGAGTTCAGCCTGGGCAAGATCCTGCCTCAAAGCAAAAAATAAAAGTCAGAACAGGACTGAGGATGTAGCGCAGTGCTCAGTGCTCCTTGGGTTCAGTCCCTAGTACTGTTAAAGACAAAAACAACAAAAACGACGAGAGATTGATATCTTAGTGGGGCCAGGGAAGTCACATCAGTTGTGGCTCAAATTGTGTCCCAAACAGCTCTCTGAATGCACCTCAGGTAATCCCATGGAACACTTCAAAATCTACAGTGAAGTGAATGTAAAATCAAGGAAAGAAAATTTTGTGTTTTTAATTTCAGAACTTGCTTGTTCCCTTGTACAGACAGGGTGAGGAGTTTTCAGGAAACAAATGGATGGAACAATATTGGAGCAAGTGTCAGGCACAGGAAAGAGAGAAGGGTACAAAGTTAATATCCTCATGATTTCTGGAGCCCACAGTGAATACCTCAGAAAGTGTTATCTTCTGAGAGTCACAGTGAATGTGTGAGCAGTGGAGAGCAGAGAGAGGGGAGAGAGAGGTGGACTCACAGATTATATTTAAGCTTAGATTTCAAAACCTCCCATGATTCTTTCGGCAGGTTGTATCTTGGTTTTGTTTTTTGTTTTAAGCAATCCAGAATAGATGATTCTTTTTTATTCAAGCTGCCTGGAGGGAATTTTAATCATTGGTTTTTTGCTTTGCTTTGTTTTGTTTTTTTTTCTTCTCCATGGTATTTACCATGCTGAATAATTAATTGGTATTTCAGCGAGTAAACTTTTTTTAATTTTAAGAAGCTGTATCCTAAACAATCTTTTTATTCCTGTGGATGAAGACCTTTTCTTCATGCCTCTAATATTTGCCAACCCCAAGGGAAAAATAAATTGTATGAGTCAGTCCTCTGGCCCCTGCCTTTCATGGCAGGACCAATGGGTTTATAGAACAAGGCTGAATAAACTATTGACTCTCCTTTGCCCTCCCCCCACGTCAGGGCCTGAACTGCCAGTCTGAATGTTGCCCTACTTAGAGGTTTTCACATGATTTTCAATCTCTATTGTTTATGGCTTTTCCTCCTCTACCCTCCTCCCTCTAGAGTTTTAGGTTCCTGCGCATTATTTGGCAGCTGATCAGGATTCCAAACTGAAGATGCTGCTGCTGAATAGCCTGAGAGTTATTCAAGGGTCCTCCTGCAAATGGCTGTGGAGGAGAGTCCGGGTTCCCAGATCCATGCCGGTGAGACCCTGCAGTCTGTATACCTGCACGTATAAAATGCGGAACCGAGTCTGTGAGTATAATCCTTCCCTAGAGAGAACAAGATGGCTTGTTGGATGGTTTGTGTAACAAAGAGAGCTTTAGGCATTTCTAGATAGGATGTCATTGGCATTCTGGTATAAGATTAGATGGCTTAACCATTTGCTATAGATTTTCTAAAATAAATGTGAAAAATCCATTCTTGACCAGGCTTAGCATGCTGAAACGAAGGTATACAGAAACTGGGCAGGGGAACACCCACTTTCAAGTATCTCAGAACCCGGTATCCTTAGTATTTCTTACTAACTGTTGTCCTTGCATTAAGATGGGTCCACAGACTATAAATTGCTTCTGTGAATTTTAAGTTTCTGGAAGTTGTTGTTAATTTTTGTAAGCAGGTCCATGGCTTAATGCTCTGGAATATTCTGCTCAGGGTCACAAGTCCCAGAGTCAGTTCTAACTGAGTAGCTTGCAGGTGTTCAGCAGCATCCCAGCCTCTACCTACTAGATGCTAAGGCATCCAGTTTTGAGAACCAAAAAGATCTGCAGACATTGCCAAACAAGTTCCAGGTGACAAAATTGCCCACTTGTTAGGAAACACTGGGATGATGGCAAAGAGTAATATATGCATTTGTGGAAAGATGAGTTGGAATTTCTGATGAGAGGAAGTCCTAGGTTTACCATTAAGGAGATTTTTTTAGTGTGTTTTTCCTTAATTCAAAGAAATTGACACAGAAGTTTCAGTTGCTAACTAACATTGAAGTTTAGGATTCTCCCTGTTTTGTTTATTCTCTTTGACCCTGTATGTATGTAATAAAAAGAATGAGGAAGAATAGAATGCTTACAAATTAGTAATGCTAACCCAGTCAGACCCAAGGGCGTGAAACTGCTCCAGAAATATATGGTTATTATGAGTTTACTGTGAGTTTGTACTCTTTCTTTCAACATGACTGTATTCTCATTAAAAACAAACAGGCTGGAGTCATAATAAATCTCTGGTTGTTAGGTGTGGCTTCCCATTAGCACGCCCACATCCTTCCCGGATGGGCTTCTTCTAAACACTGGCATTTTGTGGTCTCAGGCTTAAAATGGAAAAATTAGTCATACTTATCTGGTTACCAAAGTTTCTCTTTCTAACAGAAAGTTGAAAGTTAAGCATATAAAACTGTGCATGCTTCTATTTTCAAAACAGTTCACGTCTTTCAGTTTGGACAAAAAGTAACAGTAGTAGCTTGGGGAGGTGGCAGCTTTGCTTGATTAATTTCCCGAATCATATGACACATTGTCATTTCTGAGCTGGTTGGAAGAACAGAGCAGAGTGAACGTGAATTTGGTTTTTGGCGTCTGACACTGTCACGCCTGTCTTCACCCAGGACACTGTCACAGTCTTTGCTGCCCTGCTGAGCACCTCCAGTCCTGCTATCCTCACTTGCTGAGTGGTAAAGACAACAGTCACCTTTCCTGGCAGCCGTAGCCCAAGGGGAGGCCCAGGGTACATGGTGACCCAGAATGACACAGGATGACACAGGTAGAATCCTTCTGTGCCTGCCTCACAGTGAGGACTCTGTGTTGGTTGCTGCTTCCCATAAAACAGAATCGTCACCATCATCCTTACCGGCATCATCGGCTCGGTGCCTCCCTCAGATGTTTAAATCTAGATGTTTTTAAGATGAAAAGGATCAAGTGAAGGTTGTTATGGAAGATTTCATGGACACCCTGTGCACTGTGCCTGCATCTTTCTTCCCTGCAGGTCTTCTTTGGCTGGCCACTCAGATTGCTGTTCTCTCAGTTAATTTGACAGTCCTAATGTGGGGACTTGTATATAACAGACACAGAAGCCTACACCTAATACCCAAGATAAAAATAAAACTAGGGTGGGGATTTAGCTCAGCAGCACAAGTGCCTACCTGGCAAGACTGGGTCATGAGTTCGATCCCCAGTACCCCCCCCCCAAAAAAAAACGCAGTTTCACTTAGATCATCTAGTGAAACTGAGATTATTTGAAAGCTATCAAAAATATAGCTATGGAGTCGGGCATGGTGGCTCACGCCTGTAATCCCAGCACTCAAGAGGCTGAGGCAGGATCTCCACAAGTTCGAGGCCAGCCTGGGCTACATATTGAGTTTGCGGGCCAGCCTGAAATGCATAGTGAGACCCTGTGTCAGAAAAAACGAAAACAGAAACAAAAACAAACTTGAAGACTTTGAGTCTGGCCCAGTAGCAGATGCCCATAATCCCAGCACTCTGGAAGATTGAGACAGTGGGAGCCTGGCAACTTGGTGATTTAGTAAGACCCTGTCTCAACAATTAAAACACATAAACAAAAAAGGCCTTGGGATATAGCTTAGTACAAAAAAGGCCTTGGGATATAGCTTAGTGCAAAACCCCTGGGTTCAATCCCCAGTACTACAGGGAAAAACAAAACAAAACAAAACAACAACAACAAAAAAAACGAATGAACGGCACTATTTAAAATGTAGCTAGAAGCCACTGGTAGCTATTTATGTGTAAATTTAATTCACACTCTTTACTATATTTTACATTTCCATGTATGTTATAACTATTTCAGAGCTGTTCTTTAATTTTTCCAGGTAACTTGGTAAAATCACCAAACCTAAAGAGCAGTAGCACTAAAAGGCTTGCTCTACAATGCCTTCCTTCACGAGGAGCTCTGCTAGAGGCTGGGATGCCGCAGCCTCCTTGTCCTTCATTACTTATCCAATACCCTTGGGAAAGGATGGGCTGATGAAGAGCCCCCTGGGTTGTGTAGTGGCCTCTGAGTTATCTTCAGCTCCCTGGGAGCAACATGCAGCCCTGGAATGGACCACAGGAAAACTGGGCTTAGTCTCCTGCACTGATAGTGTGCCCAGGGGCTAATGCACTCAGCATCTAAGGGCCTTTTACAGTCCTGGAGCTCCAGCAAGGCAATTTGTACTTCTGGGATTCCACTCAGCACACTCATTGGGGGTGCTCCTGGCTATAGTGTCACTGCGTTAGGGGCGAGGCCCCCGTGGATGGTCTTTAATTATGGAGACAGCATATCCTTCATGAAAAAGGAAGAACACAGTGAGACATCTGATCATAAGCAAACCAGGGAAGGCAGTAAAGTAATTCAGATTTTTCTAATAGGTTAGAAAGGGGGAATGAAGTGAAATTGATTGTAATAGTAAATGTATTTAATCGAGTAAATTCAGGGTGTTATCATTTTTACATGGAATCGATGTTTATTCACCACCAAGTTTACACTCTTTGTGCCACATCTTATTGCCTGGTGGATGTTTCCCATTTCCAGTGTTTCATTCTTTGGCCTGACCAAGGGCAACAGCAGGGGAAGACCAGAGCATGGGAAAGAAGAGGAGGAACCAGATAAGACCTGAGGCGGGTTGGAGTAGGAACACCCGGGCCTTGGACACAGATGTCACCGCTTGCTGTACAGTTGTTAGCATGGATACACGATGACATGATTTAGAGAGACCACCGAGTGACAGAGCACAGGAGTCAGGGGTGTGAGAGAAAAGGGAAAACCACCAAGAGGTTTAGCGTGAAGCCAGGGTGCAGGGGCCTCAGCTAGGCTGGTGGTCATGGGCAACTCAAGGAAGAGGTGACGCTGAAAGAATGTGGCACACCTGGAAATAAAGCAAAAGGGAGACTTAAACTCTCTTAGTGTGTTCAAGTTTCTATAACAAAATGCCTTGGACTGGGTAATTTATAAGCAATAGAAATTGATTGCTCTCATTTCTGGAAGTTGTGAATTGCAAGGTTGAAGCACCCTCAGATTTGGTCTTGCGGAGGTTTCCTGCTTTAAAGATGGTTCCTTTTGGCAGTATCCTCATCTAGCAGAAGGAAGCAGGGAACTCCCTTGGGCCTCTTGGGTAAAGGCACTGATCTTTTTCATGAGGCTTCACGTTTGTGACCTAAGTACCTCCCCGAGTTATCTTCTCCTCATACTGCCACCTTGTGGTGGAAATTTCATTACAAATGTAGGAACACAGAAATAATCAGTCTACAGCATAAAACTTTCCCAGTGGTGCTTTTCATCTTATTCGTTCAATATCCACATGTTAATTGTAAGCCAACTAACTGGCAGGGCAGTGAAGAAAGCAGATAATTAAGCACAGTCATATAATTATAACTATATCCATGGGTCTTAGTTACTTTTTACTCGTTGCTGAGACAAAATACCTGATGACTAAAATTGGGAAAGGAAAGGTTTATTTCTTATAGTTTATGGAGGTTTCAGTCCATACTCAGTTGGCTCCAAGGCAGGGTGACATAGCAGGGCCACAGTTCATGGTGGCTGCAAACAGCAAGGCAGAAACCAGCAAAAGAGAAGAAGACACACCTTCCTGCCATTACATTACATCCTGGCTCCACCCCTAGGCCAGTGTAGCACTCACACTCCCAATCCAAGCTCTAGACAATGAACCAATCACACATGCATAATGCAAACACATGAGGCCTGGGGGCCACCGACATAAGCCATGACCTTCCACCCCTGGCCCCCTTTTATACAATGTACATCTTTTATACAAAAGACATTTAGTCCATCTCCAAGATTCTTGTTGCCAAAGTCCTAATAGTCCCAATAGTTTTAGCATTGCTGAAAAGTCCAAGGCCAAGTCTCCTCTAAGATCTACGGCAAACTCTTAACTGTAACCCCCTGTACAAATGAAACAAGGTTAAACATTTCTGAAATGCAAAGGCACAAGATAAACATTACCATTCCAAAAGTTACAAACAGGGGACTATAAAGCATTGGAAACAAAGCAAGTCCAACATGCAGCAGGGTGAACATTAAGTCCTAAACTTCTATGTTCAGCATTTGAAGCAATCTGGTTTGCAAGCTCCAAAAGGCTTGGGTGATTCCACCCCCACAGCACTTGCAGGGATATCAGCTCCTGCAGCTTTTCTCTTAAACCCTCTCTACTCACTTTTTGCAGCTTTCCTTGGATTATCCATGTTCCTGGCTTTTCCAAACTTCTGGGGTCTCCCCTGCACCTTTGGCTTCACCCTTACATCTTTACAAATTGCCCTCTCAGGGGCACACTGCTTGGCCTGCCAGGCCCTTTGCAATCGAGGTGGAAGCTGTCTTACCCTCAGAATTTGTGCATTTTCCTTGGACCTAAAATCAGCACCATGTGGCTGCTGCCAAGGTTTGCTGCCATCTGGAGCAGCAGCCAGGCTTTTTTTCCTCTCTTGCCTGTAGGGGTCGATTGCCTGGATTTCTCGGTTCTGTGAACCTGATTGTGAAGAAAAGATTCTCTATGTTGCCACCATTCTGGAACCTCACATGGCCTCCATTGCCATTCTGGTGCATCGTGCTCTGCAGCTTTCTCCTCTAAACAAATTCTTTCACTTTTGCAGTTTTGAGCCTGCAAAGGGTAGAGACCTGCTGCTTGGGCTGCCCCCTGGCCATCTTTCTTATCTCTGTGTTTCTTCTCCCCAATCAGAGTCTCAACTCTATCTTTACAATCCACAGATTTACTGGAATATTCCTTCTGGCCAAACTCACAGCACTGTAAATTATCCAGCTGGGCTATTTGCTCTTGATTTGCAACATAAAGTTGGCTAAAAGCCCCCAACAATAGCCATGCCACAGCCTCAACATTTGACTGCTTTGACATTTCCTTTTCCAGATTAAGCAATCCATTGCTCTTAGTCTCAGTCTCAAGCAAAGTCTCTGGGCTTGAACAAAATGCAGACAAACTTTCTGCCAAGCCATAACACACATCATGGGGAGTCCAACAACCAATGCAGTCCTTCTTCTCAGCAGAAATCTACCAAGCCTGGTCTTTACCATCAGGCTTTCTATCAGCCTTCTGGTCTCCTGAGCTCTGACCAGAATCCCCTCTACATAACAGCTTTAGCTGCTCCAACCGACATGTCCAAACCTTTCCAAACTCTGCCTACCAGCTATTTCCAAAACCTCTCAAAAAACACAGGGAAATTCACAACAAATTACCTCACTCCTCGGTACCAAATTTTGTCTTAGTTACTACTTTTTACTTGTTGCTGAGACAAAATACCTGATGCCTATCCAAAGCTGGGAAAGGAAAGGTTTATTTCTTACAGTTTTTGGAGGTTTCAGTCCATACTCAACTCCAAGGCAGGGTGGCATGGTAGGGCTGCAGTTCATGGCAGCTGCAATCAGCAAGGCAGAAACCGGCGAAAGAGCAAGACATACCTTCTTACTGCCATTATATTACATCCTGGCTCCACCCCTAGGCCGGTGTAGTACTCATACCCCCAACCCAAGCTCTAGATAATGAGCCAATCACACATGCATAATGCAAACACATGAGGTCTGGGGGCCACCGACATAAAACATGACACCATATCATAACTGTTTCATAGGTAAAAAAAATCACAGTGCTATAATAGTATAGGAGGATCATATTCTAAAGGATGGTCAGAAAAACTTTGCTGAGCAGGTGACAGGTAAGCCCAACACCTAAAAGAATGACACCAGGTCTAAGTCTGATGAGAGGAAATTGATTTCTGTAAAGGAGGAGCAGGAAGAAGGGTCTAAAGCAAGAATGAGCTTTCTGTCTTTCAGGGGTTGAGAGAGAGATGCTCAAAGCTGGAGAAACAGGTATTTGCAATGAACTAAATACCTGCATCCCTCTAAAATACATTAAGGTGAAGTCCTAACCTCCAAGCTGATGGTGATAGGAGGTATGCTCTTTGGGATGGGAATAGGCCATGAGTATAGAGCTCTTGTGAATGAGATTAATGCTCTTTATGGATTCCAGAGAGCTCCCTGCCCCTACCACCATGTAAAAATACAGTTGCAGGACAACTGTGTATGAATCAGGAAGCCAACCTCCCCAGGCACCAGACCTACCAGCCTCTTGATCTTGGACTTCCCAAACTCCACAACTGTGAAAACAGATTTGTTTTGCTTATAATATATTTGGCTTATGATATTGTGTTACTATAGCCTGAACACACCAAGACAGTGCCAAAGCACAAAATAAATAAAAGCTGAGACAACTAAGAAAAAAAAGACTATGAACTGAGATGAAGCATATCCTTTACATGGTTTTGCCGCTCAGTAGCTATGGATTCTTAATGACAGCATGAATTAGCTCACTTAAGACATGGTTGATACAATCACTATCTCTGTTTATTTCATTTTCCCTGAATAAGAAAAATCTGAACATAAAGCCTCTGTCAATTAGAACACACAATCATCTTCCTATTTTCAGGGAAAATCTGAGCAATTACCAGAAAATTATTTCAATCTGCTTTTTGCTTAAATGAGAAGAGGAGGGGGAGCAGAAGTGTGAATTTATCTTTAGAAAAACAAGCCCTTGGCAAAAATCTGGCTTCACTAATAGGACAATGACCAAACCCTTCTGCTGTGGCAGAGGTGGCCTTGGTTAACAATGGAGGTGGGTGAGTAAAAGAAAACCTGCTGGAAGCTAAAGCTTAAAACAGAGGGGCAAAAACAGGCAATAGCATTAGAGCCATAAAAGGACAGTGAGGGAAGCAGCCCAGATTCCTTGGGCTGGTGTAGCATGGGAGTCACAGTTGTACTTTCTACTTCCTGAATGCAGTGGAGAATGATTAAGGATGGCTGAGGGCATCATCTTAGGGACCTGATCACTATTCTCATTCTTCCTTAGTCTTGACAGGAGACCCTCATCAATTGGTGTTGTCTGTTTGTTTCCAGGAATCTTTGAAACTGAAGAGCTATTAAGGTTTTGTAGAAGTCTAAAAATTAATACAATTTGAATTAAATGTAGCTACCCTCCCCTCAATAGCAGGTGGATTATCAGTACTCAAAGGGCATATATTTAATAAAGTACTACAGGCCAACAACCTGCTCATCAGGTTGCATTCTGGTTTTGTTTTCTGTTTGCTTGGTTTTGTTTTTAAGGACAGGGTCTTGCTAAGGAGTGCAGGCTGGCCTTGAACTAGCCCAGGCTGGGTTCCAAATATTGACCATCTTACTGCCTCAGTCTCCAGAATGCTGGGATTACAGGCATATACCACCACACAGAGTAACCAGGTTGCATTCTAGCCAGAATATGATGGTATTGTGCCAGCTTGCATGCATTTTCCATTGTATAATGTATTTCTGAAACAGAAGGTCCTTGTTATTCTCTAAAGTAAATTCTTTTTCTTTCAGTTTCTTTTATATTAGGAAGGAAAAAAAAATTCCAAAACATTGGATTCAGACCTCTCTAGAAAGGAGATGACCATGTTTTATGAAAAAAAAAACAGAAATAAAAAATACTATAGGTTTTCATATAGCTTTTTAGTTCTAGATGAAGACCTTTAAGCTTTGGCTCTATGGATGTTTGGGACAAGAAAATTCTGGCTTGTAGGAGCCTGACCATCCATCCTATGCAGAGAAGGATGTTTATCAGCATCTCTGGCCTCCCCCCACTAGATGTCAGTAGCACCTTTGCTCAGTTTTGTTATTGGCAAATGTCATTGGCAAATGTCATCACTCCCTCTGTTGAGCACACTTAGTCCGCACCCTTAGGAGAGTTGCATGTTTTTACTGCTGGAGCACGTTTGCAAAAGCCACACCAAAAACAAAACAACAGCAGCAACAACAAAAATAAAAACCAAGGCTAAGATCTTGACTTCAAGATTGGGCAACTACCAAAGGAAGTGAAATGTTTCCCCCATCAGAATAAGCCCGAGGCAGGTTTCTGTTTCTCTGGAAATAGGAGGATGACCAGGATATATACGAGGGCTTTGGCTGAGTGATAATACAGCTACGTTAGTCATTACCAGACTCATTTTTGTGGTCGACAAGATGCAGAGGGTTATTGGTAATGACTTCTGTTGATTCATGTTTCTCCTAGTTTTACTGTTGGTTTTGATTCTACTTGTCTATGGTGCTTCTAAATGGCAGAAAGCTAGACCACTCCAAACTGATGAATGTGGGTTCTGTTCATTGCACCTAGATGTCTCAATAAATCTGTCTATCATGAAGTCTGCTGATATTTATCGGGGGGTTGCCAAGAAGATTTGGTGCTTGGTTCTGTGGAAGAAAAGCATCAGCAGTTGTCAGCATCTGTGTGAGACAAATTGTATGTGTTTACTGTAATAGACCACATCTATATTCATGTGACAGACTGTGAACTCAAGGGCCTTAGCAATACTCATTTTCTACCCAGATCTTACAGGGGGTGATGCCTAATGCTCCTCTGAGTTTGAATCCATTGAGAGCTCAGCAGGTACACTTCCATAGTGTGAGTATCTTATAGGGGCAGACTGCAAAAGTCCTTATTTCTCCTAACCAACCAATTAAAAACTGATAGTAAGTACTTGATTCAAAATTTGCTTCCCAAAGATCTTACCCCATTTCTTTTGTTGAAAATAAAGACTGTCACTGAAAATTAAATTGGCTCTGTATTAAAAACCAGCTCCGGGGGGTAGGGATATAGATTGGTGGTACAGCGCCTGCCTGGCAAACGTGAGGTCCTGAGTTCAAGTCTCAGTTAAAAAAACTAGTTCTGGGGCTCAGGGCTCAGGAAATCAACAAAGAAGCAAAACTGCTCTTGTGAAATCCTCACTTCCACATAGCACTAATCTTGCATTTTGCTGTTGTGACAGTACCGATGGCACTGGGTTTATGGGACATTAATGGGCAGACTGTGGTGTGTTATTTTTACAAGATGACCGTATAACAACTTGTAAGATGCTCTCTGAGGCCAAGCATGGTGGCACACGAGTATAATCCCAGAACTTGGGAGGCTGAGACAGGAGGATCACTATGAGTTTGAGGCCAGCCTTGCCTGCATAGTGAGTTTGAGGCCAGCCTGAACCTTGTCTAAAAAAAAATCCTTTCTGATCTGCTTTTGTCCTTTGCTTTAGGCAGTTGGGTGAGGCCCTAAGTAGCTATTCCTAGGACCTTTAGCTGCTGCTGGCCTCTGTGGGATCTCCCTGCATCAACTACTAGATAGTGCATGGTCTTGCTAATCACCTCACGACCCCACCCTACTCTCTCCTAGTGCATCCTCTCTGGGAAACCATGGACCTTGCTCCAGCAGGTGACAGACAGTCACCCATTAACATCCGGTGGAAGGACAGCGTTTATGATCCTGGCTTAAAACCACTCACCATCGCTTATGACCCAACCACCTGCCTGCACATCTGGAATAACGGATACTCTTTCCTCGTGGAATTTGAAGATTCTACGGATAGATCAGGTGAGGGCAATCTCTATATAGTGGTCCCATCTGCAGTGAAAACAATAGAGTCACATCAATATAAGACACATTACACTCCCTCCATAGTAGTAATGATCACTTTATTAGCAATGACATAGACTTTATTGATCTTACCTTTTGAATATATGAAAAAATAATCTCCTCTAGTTTTTATGCACATTTTCTCCCATTCATAAAGGTACTATTTTTATTGTTAAGAGCTGTACACATGAGTCTAGAGCCTCTGTAATTGGTGTTGAGAAGAGGATGTGAAATTTGAAACTGTCAGATGTTTGTTGTATTATATATTGACTATATAGTGATTCTTTACTTGCTGAGGAAATACATGAACTCTTTATTTTTTAATTTTTTGATTTTTTTTGGTACCAGGGATTGAACTCATGACCTTGCACTTGCCAGGCAGGTGCTTGTGCCGCTGAGCTAAATCCCCAGCCAAAATACATGAACTCTTATATTAAATAGTAATACTATTAATCATATTTAACTTTTCAGATCACAATGAATTTGAAATGAAGAAAAAGAAATTCATGTTTGTATTAGGTTATAGTCTTAACAACTAGTTAAGACAAGTCATATACTACAGAAAGTGAAAACTTACATTCTGTTTCTTTTCTTAAACACTGTTACCTAGTTTGAAAGAAAAAAAGGTGGAAGACTTTTTAAATTCAAATATTATACAGCTTTTGAAACTTCTCTTTTTGTTCCAGCCTAGCTGGATATAAACTAATATGAATTTCAAAGTTTACCTGAAAGATTTGTAAGTATGGAAGGCAGAATGTGACAAACTGTATGTAGATTGTCTCTTTTTCTCTTTGTCTTTGTCCTTCTCCTTCTGGGCCAAGTATCAAACATGAAGTCTTGTACATACGAGGCAAGCACTCTACCACTGAGGCTCACCTCCTGTTTTGAACTGAATCTGATGGCATCCTATAGTTGCAATTAGGCTGAAATTATGACACTTTGAAATAGTATATCTAAAGTAGTGGTTTTCAGCTAAAGGCAATTTAGCTGTCCTCCTCCCGAGGCCCCTCCCCCTCCCTTGGGCAGAGGACACTTGGCAACATTTGCCATGCAATGGATCAAGACCAGGGATGCTACTAAAGATCATACGATGCACAGAACACCGCTAGTGAAGGATTATACAGACTTAAGTATCAATTGAACTGATGTTGAGGACTCCTAATGACAAGGAAATTTGTTTTCTCCTATAAATATGAGGAAGTGAGTGCCTGAGTCCATGAAAGTCATAATGAATGAAGTAAAAATATAATTTAAAAACATAGGGAAATGTTTAATTCTGTTTTTATCTTACTCTAGGATTCTCAACTGTACCATTTTGGGATTTTTTTTTTTTTTTTTGCATTTTCCTAGTGATGTCCTGGTACTTAGACATGATTCTGTGGCCCAACTGCAAACAGACTGCTCCTCAATGGGTCTAATTCTCTCTTTCTAGTTGTCTTTCTTCTGCCATATTTCTTTGCTCTGATTCAGGGTGTGTATTTGAGTCTGTTCTTACCTTCTCATTCCACATTTTTTGCTTTCTCCTTCATGATGTGTCACAGCCCCGAAATCCTGAGCTTCCTAAGCAGAAATTGCTACTTTTCCTTTCAGATTTATGGGTATCTTTATTAATTAGAGTGTTTCCTTTTGTCATCCAAATGCCCATAGTATTACCTGTGCACAAGAATTCCAGAAATCTTCAAAACAGCAAGCTAAATTCCTGTGTTCTGGATCATGGTTATGGTTTATATCTAGTTGTCCTCCCAAAGCCTCATGAGATCATGGTGGGAGTGGTGGGGAGATGATTGGATCATGGGAATACAATATTTATTTGTGGACTTTATCAGTGGACTTGTCCACTGATGAGTTTATAGCTAAATGTGTTATTGGGAGGGAGAAGCTGGTTGGAGGAGGTGGGTCACTGAGGGCGCAGCCTAGAAGGGTTTATCTCCCTCTCTCTTCCCTTGATCTCTCTCTTTCTGCTTCCTGCCTGCCATGCCATGAAGGTACTTTTGCTCTGCCATGTCCCTCTACCATAGCGCCCTGCCTTGGAACCAGCCGGCTATGGACTGAAAACTCTACAAACTGTGAGCCAAAACAAACCTTTCCTCCTTTAGCTTGTGGGTATCAGGTATTTTGTCTTAACAATGAGAAAGCAACTAAGACAACCATCTTGGAATCCTGAGCTCTACTTGTCTCCCATGGAGCACTAGCATTGTCCCTGCCAAGGCCAAATTAAAGGCTAGACCCAGCTCTGGAGCCCCAACTCTCATACATTCACTCTGGACGCATAGCAGTCTTCTCAAATCTCAATCCTGTGCTAGTAACCTGTAGTTTTTAAAGCCCATGAGAGTCTAGGAATGGTGTGCTGTTTATTTAAAGCCCTTTTGTATATCATTGCTGCATTAAGTGGCAAATCTCAGGAAGTTGCTTAATAGGTTTCTTATCCAAGAGAGTTAAGCTCCAGAGTTCTTGATCAAATATTTTAAAAATGTTTTAGGCTCTTTTACTTTCGAACAACAGATTTAGGAATTATCTATCCATTTGCATGGGTGATTTTAGATGGAAAACAAATGACCCAATTTTCATCATAATAGTTCTTTAGACACCTATAAACCTAACTGACTGAAACATTCTTTGATGGCACTTTTCCTAGGGGAATCAATCTCACAGAGTTTTATTACAAAATATGCAACAAAAATTGTACAGAGGTTGATTAATTTTTCACCTGTTTGGTCAAGAAAGACTAAAATTGGTAGCCTCTTTTTAATTTGCTTTAACATTTTTTTTTCTTCTAGGTTACAGTCAATCTTTCATAAGTGTCTAACTTTCTCTTTGTATATCTCTCTTTTTCCTTTCAGTGATGGGTCTTATTTCTTGCTTATCTTCATTGCTATTTTTCCATACTATTGCAAAATAATCAATAGTATTCAAAGAGGAGCAAAAAAAAAAAAAGAGGACATGAACATAAAAAATAAAGAACAAATAAAACAAAGCAAAGACATCTTAGAATCCAAGAAAATAAGAAACAATTCTAGAAAAGTAAGGATCCAATAAATATCAACATCTATGAACTTACAAATATAATACAGCCCCCCAAAAAATCCCAGAAATGTTGCTATGATGTGCTTTATAAAAATTTGTAATAAAATGAAGGAAAGAGAGCCAGGGAAAATACCACTAAAACAGCTCTTAGAGGAAAATTCAGAGATGAAAATGCCAGTAATGGAAAATTTTCTCAAATCAGTAACCTAGCTTTCCACCTTAAGAAACTAGAAAGAGAAGAACAAACTAAACCCAAAGCAAGAAGAAGGAAATAGTAAAGAACAGACAGAAGTCAGTGAAGCCAAAAGTTGGTTCTTTGGAAAGATCAACACAGTTGACAGACATTTAGTTAGATGGATCCAGAAAAAAGATTCAGAAGACTCAAATTACTAAGCTCGGGAATGAAAGGAGACAACACAACCTCCTTTACAGACATTGACAGATTTATAAAGGAAGGTATGTGAACTTTTGATGATAGTGGCCTTTTGGGGGGGTATTGGTCATGATTTTAATGAGTGAATGTGAGACCTAAGTTAAGTAGGGAAGGACACTAAATAATTCCTAATCTGAATGCTCCCTCGAATTATCATCTCCTCTGAAATTTCTTTTATTAGTGAAGTAAAATGTTTAAAGAGGAGAGCTCAGCCCCATTGTTCACTTCCTAAGGGTGCCTCCTGCCTCCACCTGCCTCTTCCAGCCTCACTTTGCATTTTTGTAGGGCATCACCAATTAATCTGTTAAGAATTCATTCATGTGTGTTTTTTAAGGTCTCCTCTATTTTTGGTTCTACAGATCCATATACTTGAAATATTAGTGATTAGTAAATTAAGTGTTTTGCAATCAGCACTGCAATCCACTTGTACAATGTTTCCATCACCCCAGTATCCTCATGTCCACTTCCTGCTTTTACTATTATGTATAATGTTCTGTGTTCTTTTCATCATTTTTCTCTGCCAGCTCCTTCCCTTGCACATTGAAAAGCAAGTGAGTGAATATTACAGAGTAATATTCCTCCATGTAAGCCAGATTCTATACCAGATGTTTTATATTTGTTATTTACGTTTTTACAACTTTACTCCTTTCTCATTTTAGAGCACAGAAATAACACAATATCAAGCCTGAGAGTATATATTTGATAGATCTTTTGATTTATCTCTCAGTGTTACTGTCTTCTATCTCACTTGTCTGCCCCTTTCCTGAATGACTATACCTCCCCCTCTTCCACTCATCCATCACACACAAACTCACCCTTTCTCTTTTCTGTTGCTGAGGTTACCACTGACATCTCAATACCCTTTCCCTTTGCTTTTGCTGAGGCTACCTCTAACCCAACAGCCACTTGACAGTTTAATTCTTAGTTTTATCATGGAGCTACAAAGTGCTCAGCACTGTCCCAAATGCTCAAAATAGAAAGAAGAATGGGTGGTCCCCGCCTTTAAGGAGCTTATAGTGTGGTGAAGAGGCAGACCTCAAAGAGAGGATGCTGCTGCAAAGTGCTGAGAGCTGTGGTGGAGGTATGCGCACGGGCTGGGGAGAAAGCCTCCAGGAAGAAGTGACATCTGGGTGATCTGTGTGGAGGCAGATGTGTGAGGCAGTGTGAAGCTTGTATGAAGTCTGACTCTGTGTAAAGTATAAAAAGGAGGTGGCAGAATGACAAGTTCAGAGGCAGGCAAGACGTGATTGATGGAGAGTTTTGCAGACCATGCTCACAGATGATTTGGGCCCTGAGTTTCTCATAGGGCCATGTTCAACACACCAGTCTCGGTAGGGGTTTTAAGCTTGTTTGGCAAAAGATCTTGCAAACTCACTCTCGTGCTATATTCTGTTTCTCTTAGGGCCTCCATTCCTGGGTGGCTGATGGGCAGAAGGCACCTGTGATGATTTTACCTAGATGTTCTCTCAAAGCCTCATGATTAGGGGTTTTGGGAGGTGATTGGTGGGGCTTTGAGGAGGTGATTGGATCATGGGAATGTTATATCATCGGTGGCTTTGTCCACTGATGAGCTTATAGCTAAATGTGATGTTTGAGAGTAGAACCTGGTTGGAGGAGATGTGTCACTGGGCGCTGGCCTTGAAGGGTTTATCTTCCTCCCTCACTCTTTCCTTCACTCTTTACTTCCCTGCCACCGTGCCCTGAGCAGCTTTTCTCCACTATGTCCTTCTGCCATGCTGTCCTGCCTTGGAGCCAGTCTGCTATGGACTGAAATGTGAGCCAAACTAAACCTCTCCTTGACGTTATTGATGTTAGATATTTTGTCCCAGGAAAATGACTGAGACATCGCCCTCATGTTCTTGCCATGTAGACTTCTTCATTGGGCAGCTTACAGCACGGCAGCTGACTTCATCAGCTTTGCAGGCAAGCAAGGGAGAAACTGAGAGAGAGAAGGCAGAATGGAAGCCTGAGTCTTTTTGTAACCTAATCCCACAAGAGACATCCCATCACTTTTGTCCTTCAAAGCAAATCACGAGTTCCAGCTCATACTCAGGGTAGGGAATTAGGCAAATTTGTGAATAGAAGAGGGTGAGGAGCATTGGGCATCAAGGTAGAAGCTGCCAGCACACACAGCTAATGGCACATAGCTAACTCATGCAAACTGAAGCCCTTTCCTACAAAGCACACGCTTGCAGCCACATTTTGCAGTAGAACACTTCCCTGGCTTGCCTTTCCTCTGTGTGCAGTGTACACCGGTAAGGACTTGGTGCACAACCCAGGGGCCTACTTAAGGGCAGCAGTCATTTCTGCCATACAGGCTCTTGCCTATTGGAATTGTGTGCTCATCCTGGCCAGAGTGTTTCATTCTCACAAGTCAGGTTGAAAGGATGTGTGTGTGGTAGTGGGGAATTGAACCTAAGAACAGCATTCTACCCCTGAGCTACATTTCCAACCCTCTTAATTTTTTATTTTGAGAATGGTACTGTTAATTGCCCACACTGTTTTCACTAAGTTTCCCAGGCTGGTCTTGAACTTGCAATCTTTTTACTTCCACTTTCCAAATTGCTGCAATTACATGTGTTTGCACCACTGCACCCAGCTGGAAATGTGGATTTTTGTGTGAAATTTTCCAACTTTAAATATTGGCAACTAATTAAAAATGTTTTGAGTGCTATGTAAATCAAAATACACCTGAAAATGAGATCTGTCTCCCCTTCCTGCAGCCATCTATTAGTGACATCTCTCTGCTCCGCTTCTCATCTTTGGAGGAGTCACACAGTAAGGCTCCAGGAAATGTCAATGCTGTTCTAGGGAAAGTAGAAAACAGCTGACCCTTCCTTTGTCCTGGTCACTTAAATTGGAATGAAAACTTCAATTTTTTTCAACAGAGTGGATTCAGTATTTTCCAAAATCATGCTAACAGTACGGAGCTGGTGTAGAAAACATGGATTTTTGGCAGATATTTTATTTTTATTCCATTTTACTTTATATAGGGGCTGGGGATTCAGCTCAGCAGCATAAGCGCCTGCCTTGCAAGCAGGCAGTCGTGAGTTCGATCCCTGGTACCGATAAAAATGAAAAAGACCAAAAAAAAAATCATTTTACTTTATACTATCCACCTATTAACTTGATGAATCATATTATTATTCTCTACACCTCTCCTGCCCTCCAAAGAGAAGTGATTATTGGTGTGGTCACTCACCGCTTGCAAAACTGTTTTTTGTTTTAAAAAGAGGAAATTATGTAAGAATTTTTCAAAAGCCAGTATAAATACATAGCATATTGTGTATAAATGTTCCTTGGGATTGCCATATTTGATCTTTTGTATACATAAAATTGTAAGTAGGTACAGTAAAGTCTAAAGAGAATTAGAGTTTTAGCGTTGGTTAGTTTTAGCCTTGCTGTATTGATTTGTACAGAAATCTTCAGGATGACAGATGAAAGAAATAAAAAAACTAATGTGCCATAGCAAAGCTAAGGAAAAAAATTAGCACAGCAGAAAGACCAAGGAAAAGTGACTTAAAAACATTTTGTCTGAATGATTTTCCTATAGAGTGTTGATTTCACTAGTTCCAGAAAAGGAGTCAAAACAAAAACTACTAACTAACACTATGAAGCCAGTGGATATTCACATATGTGGGTGATTCACACTGTACACTGTGTCCAAAGGGAGGTGGATGATAAGTTTTGTTTTATCTTAAATTGGCAATAATTACACACATTTTTGGGATAAAATGTATTTTGACATATGTATATGTTATGGAATGATTATATCAAGCTAATTAATATTTCCACCACTTTACACACATCATTTGTTATAGTTAAAAATATTATTAACTATAGTCATCATGTCGTGCAGTAGATCTTGAAAACTCAGTCCTGCTTTTTAACTGAAGCTTTGTACCTGTTGGCCAGCATCTCCTGGGTGATCATTTTTGACTTGCAAATTTCACATTCCACTTTTTAGTATTTATTTATTTATTAATTTATTGCTATCGGGAATCAAAGGACCTTGTACTTGCCAGGCAGGCGCTTGTGCCTCTGAGTTACATCTCTGGCCCTCCTATTCCATTTCAGTGAAAGAGAAATAAAAGCATCATTTTGGTTTTGAAAAGCGCAGTGCTTGTGCATAAAAACAAAAGATATCTTTTTTCCCCATGTTTCAGTTTTATTAGCTTGCTTAAATATGTATGCTAAGAAAATTTTGTATTGTATTGCACATAAAATCAGTGCTTTATAGAAAATAAAAATAACTCAAGAACTGGCCTTTAATGATTGTATACAGATTGGCATTTAATTAAATCTTAATGTCACTTGGTATCGCCCTTATCCATATAGAAGTTGCATGGAAATTTAGTTTATGAGATGCGACCAAAATATACGGTGAACATTTAAAGTTAAAGCATTTATTCAGCAAAAAACATATTGCTGTGAATCTCTCTCAAAATGCTCCCCCTTGCTTTGAACACACTTATCCCATCATTCTTGCTACTTTCTGTTGCAGTTCTAGAAGTCCTATTTTATGAGTGTCTTTATGAGATGTGATAATATATATATGGTGAATGCCACCACCTAGTGTCATCCAGCAAAAAGGAAGGCTCATAAAATCATCTACCTTAGTCACTGGACCTGGAATGCTGCAGCTTCTGGATCTTCCCTAAAGTCAAAATGACCATAAAAGGAAAACACTTTGAATCAATTCGAGGCATTAAAGGTAGTCAAAATTGTACAACTAAAGACACTAAAGAAAGAAGACTCTCAGAAATACTTCAGGATGTGGCAAGAACTGTGGATAAGTGTGTTCAAGTGAGGGTTGTGCTTTGAGCGGGACTGAAGCAATACATTCTTTAATGCAATAAAGTTTCAAAGTGTAAAGATGACCCTACTTGTCCATTGCACTGAATATAGACACTTGTATGTTACATAGTGTACTCCACTTAAGACAATTCACATAGGTGGTGTGGCCACGGATTTGTTCTCTTTCTCACACTGCCCCACAACATAAGCAACCACCCCTCAAAGTGTGGTCACATTGCCATTTCAGTGATCAAGGGAGGACCGCTGGAACACAACTACCGACTGAAGCAGTTCCATTTTCACTGGGGGGCCATCGATGCCTGGGGGTCCGAGCATACTGTGGACAGCAAATGCTACCCAGCGGAGGTATGTGGAGCATGTCAGGAACAGGGACAACTGTAGTGAAGTGAGACAGTTCTGAGGTGTCTAGTTCTAAGAAAGTATCAGGAATAATCAGGTGATGCCTGTTCATGCCAAACAGGTTGCTCAGGGACATATTTGATTACTCTCAGCTTATACATATAATTATAGACATCTTAAATAACATGGCTGAAACCAACCTTACAGTCTTGAAACTGAATTCCTCCACAATTCTACCAGTGCAAGTTTCTGTGAAGGCTAGTGGCAATAGAAATAGAGAAAAAGCAAGATTTATCAAATATTTCTAAACTAAAAGCATCAGAACTTGGAGATGGGACCCTCTTCAGGAGAGGAGGAGACCAAGTTAACCAGCACCTTAAGATGTCACTCGGGTGGCTGGTGATCGTGCAGTCATTCATGAATGATGGACGAGAAATGGTTTCTAAGGAAATAGAAGATGAGCATAAGTAAATAGAATTCTTCTTAAAATTTCCCCCAATTCAGTTTTAATGTTGTTTAAAATGACACATTTTAAGTGGTCATCCCTCCAAGAAGAAATTTGTCTTCAACTCCTATCTAATTTCCATAGGGAAATCTATTTCTCTATATAAACATCTTCTCTACTTAGATGCAAATGGATTTTGGATATGAGTATTTCATGCAAATCAGGATGAGAAGGAACAAATGTTCATCCCTTACTGAAATGTTGCCTTGTTAGGTGAATTTTATTTTTCTCCCCTAATAAATCCCTCCCTTCCAAAATGACACTAATTGTTGCTCTTGCCTAAATTTCCTCTGTTCTTTATTTCCATCTCATTTGACACTTAATTGCCATATGCTTTTCAAAGTGGCTTTATTTTGCATGAGGAAACATGATTAAATATTGTGTGTTGAATGAAGCTGTCAGCTTTCTCTGCAGCAATCCTGTATTGTCATGTGTTAAACCCACATTTAATGGTGTTTCAGCTGCACTTGGTGCATTGGAATGCTGTCAAATTTGAAAGCTTTGAGGATGCAGCCCTGGAAGAAAATGGTTTGGCTGTGATAGGAGTATTCTTAAAGGTAAAAAAAAAAATCTCATGAACTTTAAGTGATGTGTGTTAGATCAGGAAAATATAGAATATTACAATACTGTTATTTACAGTGATAAAAATAAACAATTTTTAAAATTCTCTTTTTGAGACAGGGTCTTGCTATGCAGTTCAGGCTGACCTTGCATTCACTTTGTATCCTAGGCTGCTCTTGAGCTCGCAACAATTCTCCTGCCTCAGCCTCCCAAGTGCTGGGATTACAGGCATGCACCACCATGCCCGGCTACAATAAATAATTATTAAGAATATATTTAAAATGGTATAAAAGTACATAGTCCAATTGAGTAGTCACAAGCTATCTGTGGCAATTAAGCATTTGAAATATGGTTAGTGGAAGTGCAAAATAATTTTAATTTTAATTAACTTAAATTTTAATATAAGAAAGGGCAGGAGATACATCTTTCCCTGTAGGCACATTGGCCTTGTCAGCAAGCGGCCTCTTCATTTGTTTGTGTCTAATTTAATTCAGTGGTGTTCATAACATTCTCAAGAACCATCTTAAGTCTAGTTTCAGTTGTGTGGTTTGTTTATATGCAGTCACCAGGTGGTTCATTTTAATTTGCATTCCGTTTCCATTTCTACAGTGACATGTCCATTGTTTGTAATATTTTCTCTTTGTTCTTTAGCTAGGCAAACATCATAAAGAACTACAGAAATTGCTGGATACTTTGCCATCAATTAAGCATAAGGTAATTTCCTCCCTATATCACTTGAAGTACATTTTACATTTCAGTCAGAGTGGAGACATTGGCAAGCTACATCGAACTAGGAGTGAAAGTAAGTGAACTGTATGCAGATTCTCTTTCAACACTGCCACGGAAGACCTGCCACTTATGATACTTACATTAGCTCTCCCCTCTTTTGTTCCTTACAACAGCTCCTTGTCAGTCCTTGTCCAGAGAAGCCTTCTTTCCTGTGGCTTCCTCCCACAGATAGAGAGCAAGTAAAGTTCTAAAGAAATTTGCTTGTCTGGCTGCAAAGAATGATCGCCCATGTCCTGTATCCAACCCCCAGGGTTACTTTTCCAATATTTAGAATTCCAAAGCAGCTACTTGCTGGGAGTATGCCTCCCTCTCTCTCTCTCCCACTCCATCTCTTTCTTTTTCCTTTATCCTCTTAGTCCAGAATTCAAGCTTTTCCTGGTTTGTATTGCATTTTAAAAGGACAATTCCGGGTTAGTTTCTCACTAGAATTGTGGGAGAAAAAGGTTTTGTATCTTAAATGTACAACTGATTGCAGAAACAAAATTGGATTTAGGCAGTGATGAAACTACCTAGGGCCCTGGAGCTCACCTGCTGATCCCTAGACAGCCCTTGAAAATCGCTGCCTTGCCATCTGACTCCTGAGTGGTTTTTACCACTGAATAATGAATGACTGAACAACTCTTCTCTTGGCCAGGACACCCTTGCGGAGCTTGGGTCCTTTGACCCTGCCTGCCTGATGCCCACCTGCCCTGATTACTGGACCTACTCAGGGTCCCTGACTACCCCACCTCTCTCAGAGTCCGTCACCTGGATCATTAAGAAGCAGCCAGTAGAGGTTGATCACGATCAGGTACATTCTTTCCCCATTTTCCACTGAAGGAAATCCAGTTGCTTATTCAACGTAAGGTTGGGCTCAAACTTTGATATTGGTTTTAACTTTTGTTTTCATTTCAGAAATTAGGAAATGCTATACAAGGAAGAACTAAGCTACTTCTATGTTTGATCATTACATGTTTTATACATACATTGTGCCATACATATAAATATGAATGTCTATATAAAATCAAAATCCATTTAACAGGAAGAATGAAGGCTAGAAATGGATATGTTCAAAACCATTTAAAATTCTTGAGGAAATTCTGTAATAAAATATCTCAAAGAGAATGCAACAATGACTGTTCATAAAATTTAATATGTTAGGTGTTTTAAACTTGGAATTTAGTTTTCCCTTTGAAATTAAACTTAAGTGGTGATTACCATGTCAATACACAGTTGCAATATAACTAAAGTATAATAATATTTAATTATACTTGCCATATAGAAATAGAAAAAAAAAACAAAAAATATTCACTATATGGACTCATTTTATTGATTACCAAGCATATTCACAAAAACAAAACCTTCCAAACTCCGTTTTATAAAGCCAAGATAACTGATACCAACACTCATAAAAGATTCGTCCCTTGCCCTGTCTCAGTCAAAAAAAGTAAACTCTAGCCTGACACCTCTGAAGAAACTGCTAAAATAACCAACACTCATAAAAGATTCCGCCCTTCCCCTCTCAGTCAAAAAAAGTAAACTCTAGCCTGAAACCTCTGAAGAAAATGCTAAAATAAAATATTAGACATAGAATCCAATAGTATATTAGAAGAAATACATACTTTGTCCAAGTAGTATATATTCTAGTAATGCAAGAAAGATGGTTCATGATTAATAATGTTATTAATATTCATTGTATCAGTGACTAAATCAAAACATATTGTAATTGCCATAGATGTTTTTTCTCTTGAAACTGAGGGTCAAACCCAGGGAAACAGTACCATGGAGCTATATCCTCAGCCATTTTTAGTTTTTGAGACAAGGTTCAGCTAAGTTGCGCAGGCTAGCTTTGAAGTTGTGATCTCACTACCTCGGCCTCCTGAATAACTTGAATTACAGATGTGTACCAGCATGCCTGACATTTCCATAGATTGTTAAAAACCATTTGCAAAATTCTCTATTCAGGCTTTGAAAATTTAATAAAATAAAGATGAATAGAGAATTCTTAATATAAGAGATTGACCTCAGTCAAAAGTAAATAGTCAGGGGCTGGGGATTTAGCTCAGCGGCATAAGTACCTGCCTTGCAAGCAGGCAGTCGTGAGTTCGATCCCCAGTACCGATAAAAAGAAAAAAAAAAAGTAAATAGTCATCCCTTGGTATCTGGAGGATAGTTTACAGGACCCCTCGTGGATACCAAAACCTGTAGATGCTCAAGTACTTCATATGAAATAGTTTAATATTTGTATATAACATATTTATAGTCTCTTGTATATTTTAAATCTTCTCTAGACTCCATATAGTAACTAACACAAGGCAAATTCTATGTAACTAGTTGTTATAATATATTGCTTAGCATATGAGGACAAGAAAATATATCTTTTGGTTCAGTACAGTTGCACTTTTTTCCCCAATATTTTTGAGTCACAGTTGGGGAAATCACAGATGTAAAACCTGTGACACAATGGACCAATTAAATATGCTTAATATAGAAAGTATCTGTACCATATTAAACTATGCTTTGGAATTAAATGAGTGCGGTAGTATACATCTGCAGTTCCAGCTACTCAGAAGGTGGAGGCAGGAGGGTCACTTGAGCCCAGGAGTTCAGGGCCAACATGGGAAACATAGAGAGATCCCATTTCTTTTAAAAAAAAAAAGAAACAAGAAAAATCACAGGTGTGGTGGCACATACCTGTAATCCTAGCACTCAGGAAGCTGAGACAGGAGGATTGCCATGAATTTGAGGCCAGCCTGTGCTGCACAGTGAGTTCAAGGCCAGCCTGAAATATTAGGTAAGACCTTGCCTCAACCCTGCCCCAACAAAGCATTTATGTTCTGGAAGTTGCCAATATAATTTGACCAGAAAATAAAAAATAATTCAGGAAGCAATAATAAAAATGAGTAGAAAAAGACATTTTGGTAATTACTGAAGTTTCTAGAAATATATATTTACATCACAACTGATATAATGGTCCAATGATATAATGGAAGAAAGAACCATGTTCATAATAAAACAAAAATATAAAATACTTTGGAGTGAGCTTAACCAAGGAAAAGTAACACAAAATTTTAAAATGTTCCTGAAGGATACAAATGAAGACTTAAATTAATAAAACTTGTCCCATATTATTGGGTAGGAAGACACTATCATGATGCCTTTGAAGGGCCGGGAATTTAGTTCAGTGGCACAGCACCTGCCTAGCAAGCACAAGGCCAGGAGTTCGATCCCTCGTACCAATGGGGGAAAAAAAAACCCTTTGATATCAGTTCTCTTTGAGCTGTTACTCTCCAAGAATTGTTTATTCTCCATAGATTTAATGTAGTTCCAATAAATATACCAATAGAATTTTAAACAGATATGTTACTTCTAAACTCAAGTAACGATAAACATGAATAGCCAAGGAAGATTCTAAAAGAGAAAATGAAGAATGGTAACTTTGCCAAGCTTATAAAGCTTCAGTAACTAAATTCCATGATACTGGCACGTGGATAAACAGACGGAGAAGTGCGATAGTGATCTTTTCATTCTATTCAGCAGAGTTGTGATCTGCATCCCATTGGGAAAGGCACTTTGCTTTACTCAGTGTGCCTATTCCAATCCTAATCTTTTTAGGAAACACTCTCACAGACACACTCACAGATCATGTTTAACCAACTGGGCATCCTTGGCTGAGCCAAGTTGACATATAAAATCAGCTACCATAGGGCTGGGGATGTAGCTCAGTGATAGAGTGCTTGCCTAGCAATCATGACGCTCTGAGTTTGATCCCTGATACCATATATAAACAAATAAGCCATTCCAGGAAGAAAATAGTGAGTTCAAAAGTATATCCAAATTCATATGAGAATCTGCTTGACAATAATAGGTAGCATCTCAGCTAAGAGGGGACATTCAAGTAAGTGCTGATGAGGAACAGCTGAGCAGATCTAGAGGAAAATGTTAGGTCCAGCATTGTGTCTTTACCCAAGAATATATATTCTAGATATATTAAATGTAAAATATACTGTCATAAAAGTCCTAGGATAATCTTAGGAAAATCCATTCATACCTCCAAATGGAAGTTCTTTTAACTGTAAAACAAAGCCAGAAGTCTAAAAGAAAACTAATAAGTTGGACTACATATGTTTTAATTCTGTGTGATAAAATCACCACAAACAAATGACAAATCCAGAGTTTAACTGCCCATAAGCCTGGTCTTTATGGCCTGCACATTTAGCCTGCTGCTATTCTTCATATTTAAAAATCAACAAAACAGCCTGGGTGTGGTAGCACATACCTATAATCCCAGCATTCTAGAAGGCTGAGGCAGGAAGATCATAAATTCAAGCCAAGCCTCAGCAACTTAGCAATTTAGTGAAATAAAAATCTCAAAACAAAAATAAAAAAGGCTGGAGATGAACTGAGTGGGAAGGTCCTGGGTTCAATTCCCCTTACTGGAGAAAAAAAAGCTGTAACACTGAAAATTCAACAGAGCAAATAAATCAGATGATCAATAACCCATATGAAGAATTTTCAAGTAAAATTTCAACACAGAAAATTTAGTAAGAAAAAAATGTAACCTGTGTTCTATAATCCTACTTGCCTATAATCTTACCACTAAATGTTGTTCATTGCTTGAGTAAATATTTCTGGTCTTTTTATAAAAATGGGATTATTACACATATATCATTCTGCTGGTCTTTTCACTTAGTGATATCAGAACATTTTATAGATGATAAACATCTTAAGTATCTTTTTGTTTGTTTTGAAACAGAGTCTTGCTATGTAGTTCAGGCTGGTCTTGAACTCATCATGTTGTCAAGGCTGGCCTCAAACTCGGCAATCCTCCTACTTGAGCCTCCTGAGTCCTGGGATTACAGGTGTGCACCACCATGCTGGGCTCCTCAAAATTAATTATTTTTAATGGCTAAATAGTATTCTATTTTAATATAGTTTGAGTCATTTTTTATTGGCATGTGGGCTATTTCTAATTTTTTTTTTGGTCTTTTTTCTTTTTATCGGTACTGGGGATCGAACTCACGACTGCCTGCTTGCAAGGCAGGCACTTATGCCGCTGAGCTAAATCCCCAGCCCCCTATTTCTAATGTTTTGCAAGTAGTTGAATAAAAAACATTAAATCTATCCAGTTTCTTAATTAATGATATACATACATAATTTGCAACTACATGCATTGTGTTCGGTGCAATCTGTGGTTATGGTCTTGTCTCTTTAGCTCTACTTGGCTTGAATTCTTTGCTCCAAACATTGTCACATCCTTGTCCACCTTGCCCCAGGCTGTTCTCTCTAAATGCAATGAGCCACACTGGTGAAAAGAAAAGTGAACTGATTTTCTGACTGGTTTGAAGTAAAGTGTCCTATAAAATGATGGCTAAGAAAGCTAAAGGATTATTACCACATCAGAGAATAAGCCCTTGTTATTTTGGGATTACTCCTTGTGTAATGAGCTGTGCTATCCAATATGATAGCCACCAGCAACATACAGCATCTCTACTTTAATATAAATACATTTAGTTTAAAAATTCAGTTCCTCAATCATACTGGTCACATTTCAAGTGCTCAGTAGCCATGTGTGGCCTGGAATTACTCTAATGGACCATGTGGAAGAGATTTCCATTATTTTTTTTTTTTTTTTTTTTTTTTTTTTTTTGTCTTTTTCCTTTTTATCGGTACCAGGGATCGAACTCACGACTGCCTGCTTGCAAGGCAGGCACTTATGCCGCTGAGCTAAATCCCCAGCCCCCGAGATTTCCATTATTATAGAAAATTCTACTGGACAGCACTAGTGTGAGAAAGTTCACTGCCAGTTAAGAAATCTAAGAGTCAGGCATGGTAGTGATGCCTGTAATCACAGTACTCAGGAAGCTGAGGCAGGAGGATTGTTGCAAGTTTGAGGCCAGCCTGGGGTCCATAGTGAGTTTGAGAAGTACATAGCATGATCCTGTCTCAAAAAAAATCATTTACAAAAGAAACATTAAAAAAAGAAGAAAAAAAAATCTATATATATTGCTTTGCCCACAATGCTCAGATGCAATTAATTACACATTTTTATGTTAATAATTCTGTCAAACTATAAAAAATAATCTTTACATTATTACTATTGTATCAGACCTTCCCTTTGTTAATTGTTTTGTTCATTTAAATCTGTGGTCCTGAAGCTGAGTGTGGTGGCATCTACCTGGAATCCTAACCCAGAAGGCTGAAGCAGAAGGATTGCCTAAAGTTCGAGACCAGCTTGGGGTATCTAGAGAGTTCAAGTCCAGTCTGGACTACATAATGAGACTTCTTCTCAAAAAAACGAAAACAAACAAAAACAGAGGTCTTAACAATCACAGAGGTGAAGTAACTGGCCCGTGGTAAATGACTAATAAGTGGAGGACAGGGCCTTTGTCTTGTCTTCTGATCTCAAGTGCCTAACTGGGGTCTCCACCTTACTGCCCTCCTCTCCACATAAGGATGGTAACAACGTGGCATCTTATTCTTTGTCAAGAGTAAAGGCATCTTACCCAGAAATGTTTGCTTTCTGAATGCATTTTGAGACAAATGTTTCAGAATCATAAAAATGAAAGCAATTGATTTCATAAGGTTAAGCTGGTTTTCTATTGAAATTATTTATGCTTTTCTGTTTCTGTTTCTAGCTTGAGCAATTTCGGACCCTACTCTTCACCTCTGAGGGGGAAAAAGAGAAAAAAATGGTGGACAACTTCCGCCCCCTTCAGCCCTTGATGAATCGCACAGTCCGCTCATCCTTCCGCCATGATTACGTGCTGAATATACAAGCGAAACCCAAGCCATCAGCCAGCCAAGTGACCCCCTAAGGGATCCATACCTAGGCAATATTTTTCTTATTTTAGTTTTTTAAAACACTGTTAACTATTTTACATAATTGCACTAACAATACTTACAGAAAAAAACATATATATACAGACATTTCCAAGTCACTATCCTTGTAAGGTAGGATCAGGGACACGAAACAATTGGAAACATCAGGCAACTTTAGGTGACCATTTGTTTGTCAGGATTAAGGGAGAAGGGACTTAAGTACTATTGCCAGTTGAAACTGGCCTGTTGGTGAACGCTGGCTGCCATCTCTTTAATCTTGTTTTTTGAGAAGGTCAGATAAATAATTTAGTTTCTGTGTTTGGTAAAGTGGAGCTTTATTTATTGTGAGCTATCGTGAGCGATTCCATTTTGAGTTTGAGCCTGGTCCACCTCAGCCTAGCACAGCGGCTTAGTTCAAAACAATAGCCTCCTATAACTTTTATTTAACAATTTTCCCATTTTGGTCAGGCACTCATGAGCTTAGAGACTTGGTGCTACTCTTAGTTACCATCATTTTGGGTTTCAGGTATTAACATGTCATTCATAGGTCAGATGTGCACTTATTGGCATGAAAGTGCTTTATCAGTCTTTGAGAAATCTATTTGGTAAACAGATTCTTTCTTTGGTTAATAATAGTATTTATCATTAAAATACCAGCAAAAGGTACCAGTTTTCTTTACAGCAATTCATTGGTAATTGTAATATCTATTCATGTTTGACATTTTTGAGCACTTTTTTGTTTATTAATCAAAAGTCCAATAAAGTTACAAGTAGGGATTATATTCAGAATGTTTAATAAATGGTAGCAATAGAAACACTGAGCACACATAACAGAGGCCTTTTAGAAATGGCCATAGGGCTCAAACTGGTCCTTTCTGGCTGAATGCTGACTATGGTTTTAGATATACTTTCTTTCAAAATGGGAATATATATTCTTTTAATAGGGGTCCATTATAAGTATTTTCGTTCTACTTTTTAGTTGTAATAATTAGTACATGACGTGCTTACTTATTCCCAATGTATGATATAGAAAATATGTTTTGTAATCATGCAAAAAGAAGCATTTTACTAGACTTGGAAGTCCTTTTACATTTCTGAAGATCAGATATTTTATTTAATGGCTTGATCACATAGAAAACATATTCAGAACATATTTTAAAAATGCCTAGAACAGAATTCCTTTTTATTTGGTTTTATTTTTATTTTAAAAAGCAAAACAGTAAAAAAACAAAGGACAGAAATGATACAGAATTTCAAAAAAGGTAGGAAATTAGCACTAGTTAATACATTGCATATTGTTATCTTAGAAGTAGTTGTTCAAGTTCAAGATCTAGGCACAAAAATGATCAATCAAACAACAGCACAAAATGTTCTTTTTGATAAACTAAGGGATTAGTAGTATAATTATATATCTTGCATACATATACATAAATAAATTTATATATGTTTACCAACATACATATAATCTTTTCCTTTCTTCCTTTTAAAACAGAATTCTTTCATGGTACATTTACAGAAATATTCTTCAATGGATGAGTAATCTAATAGTTCACATTTATAGTGTTATTTTACATTATTTGTATACTGTTACATAGAATATAGTTATATTTCCACAATGACAGGCAATCTTAGCTCTCCTGTAATGCTGAGTAAACTTGGGCTAGAGATGTAGCTCAGTGGCAGAGTACCTGCCTAATGCTAGGCAGGCATGTCATACATGTGTATGACATCCTGGGTTCAGTCCCCAGAACTCCCAGAAATAAAAACTTTCTGAACTTTATTTTATTTGCTTATTAGTTGACGTTTCTTTTTGCAAGGTGTGTCAGTTAGCTTTTCATTGTGGTAACAAAACTCTTCAGCAACAATTTAGATGAGGAAAGACTTGTTTTGGCTTATAGTTTAGAGGTTTCAGGTCATGGTCAGGTTTCATTGCTTTAGGGCTGTAGTGAGGCAGAAACACCATGGTGGACGGAGGTGGTGATAAAAACCTGCTTACCTTCTAGCAGCCAGTACTAGAAAAAGTAGAAAAGAGCCTGTGCCGGAGGGCTTTCTCCTTTTTCTACTTTTATTCTATCCAGGCTCGCAACCTAGGGATGGCACTACCCTCATTCATGTCCTGCATGCCAATTGTCTCTGGGCACACTATCACAGAGGCACCCAGAAATGCGCTTTATTAATTTTCTTGGTATTTTTCATCTCAGTCAAAGCAAATAGACAGCCAAGATTAACCACTGCATAAAGCAAGTGTTCAATTGAAATCGCCCAATTTATACAGTGGTTTAGAAGTTTTTGTTACTGTTACAGGAGAAGAAACTTGTCAGATAGCTGAAATCTAAAATCTAGATAATTCACATGTTCTAGAGAATCGATGCCACTATTATGTTTGCATATATATATATATATATATATATATCTTATAATGTTTGCAACTACCTCTAAGCTTGTGTTCAAATGCAACACTTAATGAAACACTAGAAGAATCTTATTACTATGCTGGTCATCTATTCTACAAGATAGGGTTGAATGAGTATACCTAACACTCTTGAACTGAATGTATGTTTAAGACAACTCAGATGGAAGTGAGAATATCTCACATTTCAGACTTCTGCTTGGCAAAGAGAGCAGTTAACAAGGTGAAAAGGCAACCTACAGGATGGGAAAAAACTATTGTAAACAATACACCTGATAAGGGCTTATTATCTAGAATATAAAAGGAGCTTCTGAACTCAGGAACAACAACAATAACAACAAGCCAAATAACCCAATTTAAAAATGAGCAGACATGAGTAGACATTTCTCCAAAGAATATATGCAAGGAGCCAAGAAGTACATGAAAGATGCACCAATTGTTAGGGAAATGCAAATCAAAACTTCCACAAGGCATCTCTTCACACCCATCATGATGGCTGCCATCCGAACAAAAAATAAAAATTGTACAGGATGTGGAAAATTTGTGCACTATGGTCGGGGACGTGCAATGGTACAGCTGTTATAGAAATCAGTTTGGAGGTTCTTTAGAGAGCTAAAGCCACAATTACCTATGGTCCAGCAATTCTACCTCTGGATAGATATCTAAAAGATTTCAAAGCAGGATCTCAAAGAGATACTTGCAAATCCATGTTCACAACAGCATTATTTGCAATATCTAAGAGTTGGAATGACTAGAAAAAAATTGAGCACTTGGCTAGCATGTGTAAGGCCCTGGATTTGATCCCCAGCACTGAAGAAGAAAATAAATGTAAAAAAAAGTTAATGCATGCAATTGATCTATGTCAAACCTTAGTTACCTTTCAAAGGGTAAGCACACAAAATATGCATTATCTAGAGCCCAGAGAGTTTTCATCTGGCCTCTTGTAAACTCTTATTGCAAAGCTCTGTTTCAAGGAGTCTTCCAGATAGGAGCAAAAACCAATGTTCAGAATGATTAACTTGCTCTTCTACCTTAGAGGAATGAAGGATATATTCATAAGGTGACCATTTCCTGGTTTGCTGTTGCTGATTTACTTATGGCTGCTATTCTGGTATGACTATAATGGAGCCCCTTTTCCTCTCAACCGTGTCCTGGTTTACATAGCAAATTCTTGGTTACTTTTCTGGCAGATGTTATAGAAACTGCCTTGTGGTCTTTTCTATCATACTTTTGTCATATGACCCTCCAGAAGGCACTGTAAAGATCTTGGCTATTCATAGGCCTTTGCAAGAAACTTTTTATGTCTTACACCTTCAAATGTGATAAGCACTCTAAACATAAGGGTGAAAGTGATGCCTGCCTGAACACACTGGTAGAAAATGGGCCTAAGATTTCCCCCACATCTTAAGAAAGATTTTTGTGTTGCAATTGCTGCTCATCATTATTAAATAATACTAGATCAATCTTTTTCTTTACAATAGTAATGGCTCTCAAATGACTTTTCATTCCTATTTGTTTTGGCTTATAAGATGTCTATAAAATTAGCGAGGTACCCCTTAACATGCAGATCAGAAAGCAACTGGAAAACTCACAAAGGATTTACTAGAGTAGCAGTACTGGGCAGAACCAGACAACTCGCTACAACTCACTTCTGCTGACATTGCTATGCAGCCAAGCTGCCAGCCTGTCTTCCCAGGGCTATCTGGTGTGGAGAAGGTTTGCTATGCACTGGATCCCAATTGTCTGGCTTCAGTGAGACAGACTACATCGTATGAAACAAGTTACATAAAGCAGATGTATTATGTACACACAGGTAGCAAGAGATAAAAGCAGTCTAGGATTATTTGTGAGCTGGTCCTCCAAGACTCAAAACAGCTGCTCCAGGGTGGATGGAGACTTGACTATGTGGCCTCAGTCAGAACACAGCCTGTGGGACTCCAAAAAGCAGCCCTCCCCAGATTGCGCACCTCAGAGACTACAGAACTCATTGAGCCTTGAAAGCCATCTTGCTGTCAGGGGAGAGTGGAGTAAAGTTTGGCTGTCCACGGCAGTTTCTCTATAATTCAAGAAGGTACATTTCCTAGGCGGAGCAGGAACAAGACTCAGGCTGTCTCATTGTGTTAGCCTTCAGTAGCTGTGACAAAACACTTCAGGGTAACAGCTTAAAGGAGGAAAGGTTTATTTTTGCTCTTGATTTCAGAGGTTTCAGTCAGCTGGTTCCATTGCTTTTGAGCTTGTGATGAGGCGGAAACCTGGTAGAAGGGCGTGGTGGAAGAAATGTGCCTATGCCCCATTCCTTCTACTGGATCCTAAATTTCCATTATCTCCCCCAAATAGCATCACATTGTGATTGCATCAATGGCTTAATCCATTGAGCAAGATAAGAGTCACCATGATCCAATCACCTCCCAAAAGCCCTACCTTAGAACTTATGAAACTTTTGGGGGAACTTGTAGATCTAAAGCATAAAACTCCCCATATCAGACATATCTCAGTATATTCTAGTTACTCTTGCTATAACTATAAGCAAGAAATGTAGGAAAACTCGGTTAGTTCAAGGTCTCCCAGGGAACTTACACTTGGCTTAGGGTAAAGTTGGTTATTCTAAAATCAAGCATCGACTCCCCAAAAGTTTAGTCTTTCCTTATTGAATTGAAATGATAGTAATTATAGTTTGGAAGTGGAATTGGCTTTTAGTGTTCTTCCTGTAATAAAATTAACTTAAGCAATCTAAGATTGTTCATGTAAATGAATTCAGTGTTTAACTGTTGAAATAAGTGTCTGTCTCCTATAAAAGGAGATTTACATTTGCTTATAAATTATAATAAAGTCTACATCTGTATCTTCTTTTATTTAGGAATATCTTCCTAGAAGATATCCTTACTTAGCATTCTGAGTGAAATTCTGATCTGACTCCTAAGAAATGCTACAGCATTTCAAATTGTCGTGCTTCCAGACAGCAGCAACTTTCAGCATAAGTCCTGGTTTTGTCATGAGGACCAGCAAAACTTGGTGATCTACATAGCTGCATCATTCTGTGCCATGCATAGCTTTTTCTAGCTTGGGAATATAACTGCCTAATTTTCAGCTTCAAAAATTCTAAGGTTTAGTGCAAGAAACATACCAGGAAACGCAATATGTGCACTACTCTGTGATAAGCACTATAAAGGTAGAAGACTTATACTGGGAATGGACTCTGGTTCTTGATGGGGAGGGAAGTTTTTTTACACCTGTGGTGATGGTGATGACGACACAACAGCAAACATTTTGGAGATATTTACTGCTGTTGCCAGGCACATATAGCTTGGGCTATTATTCAATCTTTATCATAAGAGCTTTATTTTTCTTTTTGTGGTACAGGATATTGAACTCAGACTCTTCACACTGGACTACATCTCAATTACTTTTTTCTTATGTTGAGATAGGGTCTTGGTTTTTTTTTTTTTTGACAGAGTCTTGCTTAATCCCTAAATTCTCCAGGCTGGGCCCAAACTGGTTTTCCTTCCGCCTTGCCTCCCAGAGTGCTGGGTTACAGACATGCACTACACTCGGCTCTAAAAGCTTTAGAAGACAAGAAGTTATCTCTATATTGACTTTCAAACATGAGAGAACTGAGGTTTAGACAATAATGAATTTACTTGAGACTACAGACAACCAAGGCTTGAGTTTCCTGTTCCATTCAATTCCAAAGCCTGTGTCTTTACTTATTGACACACTAAGTTTGGCAAGGTCAATTTGGAAGTTGAGGGAGAAGGGACACACATGTTGCTATAGTCTCAGTAAGAGGGAGACAAGTGAGGCTTCATTCAGGTTTGATCTTCAAACTGAAAGATCCTGGAGGAGGGATAGGAAGAAGAGGGATAGTTTATTAATGGGGTACATCAGCGATTTTAATTTGGAGACAAGAAGAACTCAGCTAAGCCAGGAAAGTTATTCACTCACTCAAAAGATGGAGTGGTTAATGTGTCCTTGGGAGAAACATTTTTTTCTTGGCATTGTTCCTGGCCTTGTATGTATGTATCAGTCTTATTATCAGCAGGCTGATTTTTACTTTCCCAATTTCTCATTACCTCAGTTTAATTCCTAATCACCTCTCTCCTAGATTATTGATACTGTACTGTGCAATCTTTTTTTATTACTCTGTAATCTTTTAAACCTTTATGTTGCAATTCACAGTAATTTACCTAAAACACAAATACTACAATAGGCAACTACTTAAAAGCCTTGACTAGCTCCCCATTGCCTACAGGATGCAATTAAAGCATTTTGGCATGGCATACCAGACCCTTTTTTTGTGGTACAGTAAAGTATATTGAACTCGGGTCCTTCACACTAGACTATATCTCAAGCCCTTGTTTCTTTTATGTTGAGCTACAATCAAGCCCCAGTCTACCTCTTCTGCCTCCCACCTCCATTGAACCCAAAGCCTTTGCCCTGAGCTACATTCCAGCCCTTTTGTAATTTTTATTATTTTTCATTTTTATACAGGGTCTTGCTAAGTCACTAAGATGCTCAGGCTGGGCTCAAAATTGCGACCCTCCTGCTTCAGCCTCCCAGAAGGTTAGGGTTACAGGTATGCACCACAGCGCTCCACCTGTTGTGTTTGTTGATGCTCTTGATTCACATTTTAAATTCAGTTAATAAAATTCTCGCTGTTCCCAGTTCCATTTTCACCTCTGTTTCTCCGCTTATGAGGGTTTGTTTGCGTTTTTGTTCCCATCCTTCATCAATTGGGGAAAAGCCATCTTCTTTCAAAACGCAATTCAAGCATCAAAAACTCCCCTTTAGTTCCCATGTGCAATATGTTAGGTAAAACTCATCTTTTTTTTTTTTTTTTTCTTTTTATCGGTACCGGGGATCGAACTCACGACTGCCTGCTTGCAAGGCAGGCGCTTATTGCCGCTGAGCTAAATCCCCAGCCCCTTCATCTCTGCCTGTATAAATTAAGGCACGTATATATTCCGGTATAGATATACCTTAACTGTAAACTCCTAGGGAACAGTGTTATTTTTGCGTCTGCAGACGTTAAATTAGGGAACAGTGTTATTTTTGCGTCTGCAGACGTTAAATTACCCTACAGTATTGGTTAGGAGTGACTGGAAGGGGGTGGAGTCTGAGGCTTTACCTGAAGCGCTGATAGGTGGAATCTCGAAAGGAGGCGGGGCCTGGGTAAACCGTGTGGGACACAGGGCGTACAGTTGTGGGTGGAATGAAGTTTCCTGAATGAATGAGAAAAAGGGGGAGAGGTTTAACTTTGACCTCCAGACCGTTAGACGTTTCGCTATGGTGAGGGGTGGGAAAAGATAGTGCCAAAGTACTGAGGAAGTGCCTAGGAACATATTACTTTAAGGGTAGTGTCACAGCTCCAGAGGAGTTTTCAGGAAGGAGATATTTATTTGCTAGGGTTTTAGCAGACTAGTGTTAGCTAGGTACCTCCCCGCCTTTGGTTTTTGGTCTCATCCGGATTGAGGCTACGTAGCACCTGCGCTTGGGCCTTGCGGCCGTTAGTGCCGCCTCTTCCTGTCGGATCAGGGGGCGGGGCAGCGTCAGCAAGATGGCAGCGCCGGAGCTGCTGGTGTTTGCCGAGAAACCCAGGTACGGTCCGCTAGAGTAGAAGAGGCAAGAAAGCGGGGCGGAATAGACCGGGCCTGGGAATGGAGGATGAACAGGCAGAGAGGAAATAGGAGCTGGGCCAGCGGAGCAAGTCACCGCCACAGCTCCAACCGTCAACGATTTCAAGGTGTACTCCTGTCGCGGGCGTCGGTGGGCTCCAAGAGGCGAGGTGGGGACAGGTCAGAGAAGACCTGCTCTCTGATGTAGAAGGATGAGGTGATGACAGTGGCATGCTTTGTAATTAAAACTCTGGACGCTAAGTTTCTCTGCCGAGCCGCCGGGCGATTTTCTGTCTTAGGGCGCGAAGGAGAAACGAGCAACGCTGATGTTGTTGTGTTTGTGTTTTTTCAATTTGCCAGCCACAAAAAGTACAGGGCCGTGCTCAAGAAGGAGAAACGGAAGAAACGCCGGCAGGAACTCGCTCGAATAAGAGACTCAGGTAGTAAACTGTTCGTCCTGTTTTCTGGGTGTGGAATCGCTCCTATTCCTGCCCCCCAAACTTGAGGCCCCACTGTCAGAAGGAAGTCTGTATCCCGATGAGCTGCTGTGGCTGGTGCCTTCTGTGTTAAGCTATGTTAGACCCATGTCGGAAACAATGCTGACAGGCTATAGAGGGCTTAAAAGTCAAGGAGAACCATTACCCGCAGATGTCTGTGTAAGAGCAATGTCTGTAAAATACCAGTGCAGCCATCAGGAAGCACAGCAGCTACTGGTAACACAGTCCCTGCACATAGCAAGTACTCCTTGGATGTTTTTCATTGTAAAACCAGCAGGAGTCGAAGGTTTTAAATTGTCGTTTTGGAGGTTTTCCTCGAATTTTAGTTATAGGAGACCCTTTCTTGACTCAAATGAGTGTTTTAGCATACATGAGCGTAAAACTAGTTATAAAACTTATTTAATTATAAAACAGTACACGTACAGATTTTAAAACCAAATGAAACTGGGGGCTGGGGATTTAGCTCAATGGCATAAGCACCTGCCTTGCAAGCAGGCAATCGTGAGTTCGATCCCCAGTACCGATTAAAAAAAAAAAAAAAAACCAAATGAAATTACACTGCCTTTTACCTTTACAGTAAAACTCAAGTTTACATTAATGTAATGCTAAGGATGATGTGAAGGAAATGCCTTACTCAGCATGAAGAAGATGCTGGTGGGAGTTTGGAATGCCTCTAGTTTTGTTGTCCTGTGGTGTTTTACCATTTTTTCTCCATTAAACTTCTATGACTTTCATTTATACAGCTAGCTCTGATGTCATTTGGCCTTCACATGGCAGAACCTAACATTTATATCTGAAACCTACTTATTTAACACAATAGGACTTATAAATGTAAATTGGAGCACTAGAATCACACAAAAGAGTACTGGATTCCAATAGTTGCCAGTCATGGTATCCAGACTATATTATTAAATTATCCTAGTCAGTTTTCAAACTCCTGAGAAAATGGCCTCAAGTAACTAGGATTCTTGAGTCTTGAGAAACAGACCTCTAGCGGCTTTATCATTGGCGTTCCCAAGTAACTATTTTAGTATTAGCACCTGGAATAGATAATATGGAAGAAGCAGTGGCTGCATTTGCCTGCAATCTGTGTTAGCATTTTTCTTTTAGTTGTTGCAAACTGGTCTACTAGAGGCAGGATATAGTGTCAGGGATAAAAATAAAAGCAAAGGTAGGGCAGTTATTGATGGCCTCATTGCCCACCTACCCTTGAAGCTCTCAGCTTCCTTTACTCATTTAATCTGTTTTGTTCTGACATACGCACCTTTAAAAAAAACTCTTCCTTTTTCTCTTTCCTTCTCTTAACTCTTATAATATTTGGGTTTGTTTTGTGTTGATTTTGTGAATATTTGACTTTGGAAAGTGCATTCCGAGTGAGCTTTCATGGAGAGTCAGGTGGATCATGTCCCTTGGCAATTTAGTCCACTGAAGGATCCAGGCACTGGTCTGCCCAAGATTATATTGCTAGTGGCAGATTTAAGACTCGGCATCTGTCTGTTTTTGTCCACTCCAACTCATAATCCTTTACTTAGTGGTCTTTCCTGAATACTGTGGACTATGGAACACCGCTTTCCATTGTAGCACACATCAGATGGGCAAACATTACCCGGAAGGCTGGGCCATCAAGAGCATTGCTGCAGGAGTGTATTGCCAAGTAAACTAGTAGACATTTCTGAAGTAGTGACCTTTCAGTAGCCTTTTTAGCACCTACTTGAGTTAACCCAAACTGTTAAGGTAATACTAAGTATAAATTGCAAATTACAAAACTATAGCCAGATTTTATGTTTATATACTTACACATATTACATGTATATGTATTATACATATACATATATGTATTATACATACATGTATAATATATGTATTATGCATGTATTATACATGTATAATACAGTTAGATGTATTGTTAGTCTATTTTCTGTTTTTTGGCAGTCCTGGGGATTGAACCCAGGGTCTTTGTTCCAAGCTACATATCCAGCCCCTTTTCATTTTTTATTTTGAGACAGGGTCTCTTGTAGTCGGTAAGTTGTCCAGGTTGTGTTCCAACTTGTGATCCTGCTGCCTCAGCCTCCCAGAATGCTGGGATTACAGACAAGGTGCACCACCATGCCCAGCTGTTATATTTTATTTATATGTATCCTTGCATGTATTTTGAATGTGCTTTCAGAGAAAATGCTACACTCAGAACTGTTAGTGATCACCTTTATGGTGTGAGTGAGTTTGTTTTAGGGGGAATGGAGCGTTAAGTGGGTTGTTATCAACTATATCCAGGCCATGTGTAGTCTGTGAGCATCTCTCTATGAGTTGAGTCCTATTTTCTGTGCCATGTTGTCCGACCCATTATGAACACTAGTTCACTTACTTATCAGAAGAATCAGTCGTTATTTTATGTGAGTTAAAACTTAACCTACATTTTTGGTAGTTTTGAGTGCTGAAATAATTAAATTTATTTATTTAAGAAAACTAAATTGTTACAATGATCTAGGACTTAGTGAGCCGTTGGTTAGACCTATACCCTATATGTGTGATATGCACACACTCTGTTTCCTTAAAGCTCGAAATCATGTTGTATTTCCTTAGAACTGCTACATTTCCCTCCTCCCATATTTCATCTCCATTTTCACTGCTTTTTCCTCCCTCAAATTTAAATTGTAAATACAGGAAATACATTTTTCTTTTATTAAATATTATTCTAGAGTTGGGGATTTAATTCAGTGGCATAAGCGCTTGCCTGGCAAGCATGAGGTCGTGAGTTTGATCCCTGGTACCAAAAATAAAACATGTTTTTCTTTTGAGAATGTCTCAGTGTTTAGAAAGTTGAAAAAAATAATACAATAAATACTTATGAGCCCTTGTGCTAGATTTGTCAATTGTTAATATTTGGACTTTCTGTTTATATAGAAAAATACATACACACAAAATTTTTTCTGAACCTTTTGCACAGCATTGACAGATATCACAGCACCTCACCTCTAAATCCTTCAGCCTGTATCTCCTCAGAATAAGGATATTCTCCTGAAGAATCACAGTACCAAATCTGAACCAGTGTAAATGAACAAGAATTCAGTGATGTGATATACAGGCCACATTGAAACTTCATCAAACCAAGACTGATTATTTTGAAAACCTCAAGCCATTGTCCCATGACATGCCTTGCATTCTGGATTAGTATATCCTCTCTCAATTATTTTGTGTTATAAACACTCTTTATGACAGAATACTGCAGAGCAAGTATTATAAATACCTTACTGCATGCATTGTAAGAGCTATAATGTCAGGTTGTACCATTCCTCGTGAACAGATATACCCCATTGTGAGGGCTCATTTTTTCCCCTTTCCAGTTAGTCCTCATCTATGGGATGACATTTTAAGATGGTATAAATATCCTTTTCCCAACAAGCTTTCTTCCAACATTTCTGAAAATCTGTATGTTGATTTTTACAATAGGAGTTGCAAAGGTGATCATTTTTCTACTTAAGTCTTTTATTTTTTAGTTTCCCTTCTCTAGAGATGGAGTTGCTCCTTAACCCTCACCACCTTTTTCCCTCATAGTGGAACCATTTATTGAGTTTTGAATTTAGTGTGTTATCCCCTACCACTATTCTTTTCAATGCTCACTTTGTACCAAATTTAGAACTCGTATTATTAGAAAGTGTTTTTTTTACTATAAAGTTTATATGCATTTTTCCCCTGAATTATTGACCAAGAATTTTTAGTACTCAGTTTAATAACACATTTAAATTTCCTCAGAAGCCTCACAGAAGGAGGAGGAAGAGGACACTTTAAATGAAGAACAACAACTAGAAGAAGAGAAACAGTTGGAGAGAGAGAGGTCAGCTCTAATTGAAACACTAACAGAACTCATTTATTTTATTGCACTGTTATCAGTCTTTACTACTAACTGGTACTGGTTTTTTGTATAAAATCTTATACAAAATAGGTCTTACAAAATATCCTGTATAAACTGTTTAAATCTAAGCTGATGGGCTACAATTAGATGTTACCTTCTCTTAAAATGGAATATTTTTCACTGTTTTTGCTAATTGGTAAATCCTTCTGAAAAAAATAAAATAATTCACAAGTGTAAGAAGTGAAAATTGTTTTAATAAAAATTTTTATGTTGTTTCAAATGTACGTTTATGAATTAGTAAATTTGAATATCTTTATATAGTTTATTTCTTATTTATAGGTTGCTTAAGTTTTGCACCTTTCTTTTTTGGAGCACTTGCCTTTTAATATGTTTTGTAAGCAATGTTATTACTTGATTAAGGGTTTAATCCTTTGTCCATTATATGTGTTGATGTTTATTTTTTTCATGTTAACATTCCTGCTTTGGCTTATGGTATTGTCATGGTATTACTTATAGTATTACCATGCTTTGATTTTCCTGTTGTTAACTCATGTTATGATTTATGTCTGACTTTAAAAGGTCTTCCCAAACCCAAGATGATGAAAATATTCTTTCTCTTAGTATTTTTCAGAGGATAGTTTTGTTTTGTTTTAATGTGGTGCACACTAATATGTGTGCATTTAATGCCACTGAGTCATACACTTAGAAATGGTTACAATACTAAATTTTAGATATGTATATTTTACCATAATAGTAAATAAAAATTTTTTTAAAAGGAGAAAAAACTTTAATGATATTCTCTAGCTGTTTAGCATGATCACTGGAAATATTGCTGCTTTTCTTGTAATTGGTTCTTGTTATTTACCTAAGGATCTAAATTAAGTGGAATTATTAAAATGCCTCCCTGCCATCAAAAAAAGAATAGCATGACAAGTGGAGTTGGATTCAGCCAGATCTGATTTCCAATCTGACCACTGCTACTTAGTAGCAGATTTCAAAAATCTTAGTTTCTCTAATCTTTAATTCCTTGTCTACAATAATGAAATAAAATCTATCATAGTATTTACCTCATAGAATTATGAAAATTAAATGAGGTAATACATGTTTAGTGCTTGACAAGTGTTAGGAGATGCTGTAATTACTGGCTTTTATTATAGATTTCTGTTACCAAGACATATAGTATGAAATAGAGAAGTAAGTTTTGTTTTTCGTACTTAAAATGCATATTTTCTTTTTTTTTTTTTTTCTTTTTTCTGGTACCGGGGACCAAACTCACGACCACCTGCTTGCAAGGCAGATGCTTATGCCGCTGAGCTAAATCCCCAGCCCCTTAAAATGCATATTTTAAATTACATGTGCCTTGTGTTCCTTTGATCTTTGTTTATTTCTATATAAGTTGCATAGTACTTGAATTAATGTTGGAAAAACAGGAAAATTATGTGAAAATATTATATGGCTTTATGTCCTATTTTAAAGCAAGTTATTAAATTGTAAAGTTTGTAACATTTTACTTTTCTGTGGTCTTAAATTTATATACCATCTGGTTCAGTTGTGTACAATTAGTATGTTTCTCAAAAGACACATAAGTCAAGAGTACACTGAAACATCTATATGGTTCCCTACATATAGGACATTAGGTATATGTAGGAATATATTTAGGTCTATTCCCTAAATATACCATATGGAAATGTGGTATATTTTCCCTTACAATATTTAAATTATGGCTAAGTCTGGACATATTTAATTACAGTACTCAGAAACTTTAGTAAAACATTTGAATTAATGAGGTAATACAGAACAGTTTCTTGTGTTGCACTTCCCTTTTCCAAAATACATGGGGAATAGGTTTTTAAACAACTAATTGGTAAATAACCTTTGTAAACATAACCCCTGTTTAAGTTAGAAACTTGTGATATTGAATGTTTGAGAATCTTACTGAATTTAGGTAACATTACTTCTTATAATTGGTTATTAAAAGAAACTAAGCTGGGCATGGTGGCATATGCATGTAATCCCAGCACTGAGAAGGCTGAGTCAGGAGGATTGCTGTGAGTTTGAGGTTAGCCTGGACTACATAGCAAGACCCTGTCTTGACAAACAAAAACTCCACCAAAACCAGTACAGTTGCTAATTTATTTTTATAACTTTTTTCATCTTTTAAAAAAATATCTGTAGGTTTCTTTATTTTGAAATTATGGTCACAGTATAGCCCTCCCGCCACAGTAGTTCAGATGTTTGATGATACTTATAGGAGTCTCTTAGTTATGTGATACAGTAGTCCAAAGGTTTATGGTAAAAGATGCCAAGTGTTCATATTACTGCAATCATGGAATTGCACGTGAGGAAATGCTATAGTGAAACCCATTAATCTGTACAATTAATACGTATGAATAGTTATAACAAATGCATACATAGACTATGAAGAATGTGAAAAGCTTAATGTTGCTTTGAAACTTGTTACCCACCTGTTAAGACCTAGTCATCACTGTGATCAGCCTAAAGGTAAAGTCTTAATGTTATTTTTTTCATATAAAAGATGTCATAGCTACTCAGCACTCTGGGAGGCTAAAGCAGAAAGATTACAAGTCTGAGCCCATGCTTAGCTAGCAATTTAGCTAGACCCTGTTTCAAGATAAAAAGGGGTAGGGGATGTAGGTCATGTGAAAGTCCTAGGCTTCATCCCCAATACGGCAGGAAAATGATCTTACAGCAATTCATACCTATGAAATGTAGACATAGGAATTGCAACTTATTACTCCGTAGGGAGATAAGACTGATGATAAGACTGATGGTGCTTTTTCAAAAGCTCTTCTATTGTCTTCTGGTTCTCGTACTCCTACTAGACTGCTTTCATAATATTTTAGTCCTTCCCTAAACATCTCATTTTTGTTTTTGTTTATTATTGCCTGTGTGTATGTATTTGTATTAATTTCCATTTCTACTATTGATTATATCATTATTTTAATAGGCAAAAATTACATGAGGAGTGGTTGCTGAGGGAACAGAAAGCACAAGAAGAATTCAGGATAAAGAAGGAAAGGGAAGAGGCAGCTCGAAAACGACAGGAAGAACAAGAGGTACAATATTAATCCAGTGACTCATTGACAACCACAATAACTTTCATTGAGTTACATATCTTGAACTTAACTGATACTATCCTTTGACCAGTAGCTTTAAAGTATTCATTTACCTACTCTTTATGTTAAACATGTTTAAAAAGTAAGCCTAAAAATAGGGGCTGGGGATCTAGCTCAGCAGCATAAGCGCCTACCTTGCAAGTGTGTGGTCATGAGTTCGATCCCCGGTACTGGTAAAAATACAAAAATACAAAAAAAAAAAGTAAGCCTAAAAATAAATGACCTTGTCTTTTTTTTTCCTTTAAAGAGAAAGTTAAAGGCAGAATGGGAAGAACAGCAGAGAAAAGAGAAGGAGGAGGAGGAGCAGAAGCAGCAGGAGAAGAGAGAAAGAGAGGTGATTGCTGGGGTAGAAGGACAGACATACTGTGTCTTAGTGTGCTCGTGAGCTGTGTGATGGTTGGAAGAATAAGCTGTGGGCGTGTTGGGCTTTTGATTTTTTTCCCTTTTTTTGTTGTCGTATTTTGTTCGGAAAGGGTCTTATTTATAGTCTAAAGATACACTAGAGTTTCCTTACGATTCTTCTTTGTATCTGTGGAGAAGCAGATTTCTTAAATTAAGGTTTTTGTTAGCTTTACCCAACCCCTTTATATTAGGGATTGGCAAACTTCCTCTAAAGGACCAGATAGTAAATGGTCTAGGCTTTGATGTCTGTATGGTTGCTTAACAAAGATCCACCTCTGCCAGTGAACTCTGAAAGCAGCTGCAGATAGTCTGTAAATGCACGGATGTGGCTGCGTTCCAGTAAAGCATTTCTGCAACACAGCCAGCTAGCCCTTGCTTTACACTCTGTGCCACAGGATAGCGAGTGGTGTTTTTCTGTGGTTCTGTTGTATGTGCTGACTTCTTTAGAGAATAATATTGTGTACAGTTTCCACACTGACTTTGTTCATAGGAGATTTAACAGCTTATGATACTTCAGCAAGAATTACTTGGTTTAAAAAAATCAGAAATTCAAGTATTGAGGAATTAGGAAATCTTTATTGTTATTATTAATCTTGACTTCCTTTCTAATGTGAGTTGTAAAAGCAGTTGTTACTAACACATAGTTGGTCATTTAAAAAATCTGTAATGTATATATGTCTTCTATAACTTCCAGGATTCCTTTAAAGATTATTTTGCTGCTATTCCTTAGCAGTATATTTCACAGATAACATAGCTCATCTTTCTCTAACTGATTCATGAGGATGTATCTTTTTTGGAATATTGCTTAATTTGAATAGCATGATATTGAGCAGTCATCTTATAATGAGGAAAGAGGGATTTGTGTACATCCTATCATGATGGGGTAGAACCGGTCTCCACAGCCTTCGTTTTTGTGTTTCAAGCATCAGTTCCAGTGCATACTTTTGACCTCTTTATTTAAGCACTGTGTTCCAGATGGGGCACCATCATTCTAGGTTTTTAGGATGAACAAAACTTGTTTGGAGCTTGTCTTATTTTATAGAGAGGAATCAGTTCTTTTTTAGCAGTAGAATATTCTTCAACTGAGGCCTTTCAAGGATCAGGTAAAAACTAAGGTTTATTTTGTTTAGTTTAATGTTTTTGTTTAGTTTTGTTTTTTAAGTACAGTCTTAGTACATAGTTCAGCTGGCAGTGAACTCACTGTGTAGCCCAGACTGGCCTCAAACTCACAGTGATCCTCTTGCCTCAGCCTCCCAAGAGCTGGAATTACAGGCATATGCCACCATGTCTGGCTGTTTATTTAGTTTTGAGGCAGTCTCTCTATGTAGTTCAGGCTGGCCTTGAACTTACTATGAAGCCCAGGCTGACCTCAAAACTCATGATGATCCTCCTGCGTCAGCCTCTGCAGTGCTGGGATTGCAGGCATGCACCACTACACGTAGCTTTAAGGCTTCTTTTAAATGCTTTTGTTTCAAAGGAAGTCTAGTGAGACATTAAGAATTAGGTAAAATGAACAGATTCTAATTATAAATAAAGGTATATGTGATGTGTGTTTCTGCTGTGTGCTTGCTTAGTCTCTGGTGGACAGAGATAGAGTGGTGTGAAGCAAGTCCCTACTCTTATTGACTACTTTTCTAGATGGAGGAGTCAGATAATGAGTAAACAAAACAGATAATTCAAAACACAATGAAATAATGTTGAGTAGAATACAGAAATAAAGCAAAGAGTGATGTGATGGAGTGATGGGGATAGAGGAGTACTTAGATTGCCTGGTCAAAGAAATCTTTAAGGATGTGATAGTTATCAAGAAGTGAGACTTGAGTCTTTTGTATTTGAACCCACAACTGAGCATGTAAATCTTGGGGAGAAGTCGTCTGGAAGAGGAAAGAAGACCAGAGTACCTTAAATTGAGAGAACAAAGGAGTGCAGGACAGCGGCAGAGGAAGAGTTCAGAAGAGTAGGAAGGGTCAGATCCTTCAGGTCCTCTTGGATTTGAAGGAGGAGTGTGAATTTTATGGTAAATGTAATGGGAAGGCATTGACATGTTTTAAAGTGGGGAGTGACTTCATCCCATTCATATAGTTACCTTCAACAGATCATTCTAACTTTTGTACAAAGAATGGGGGATGACAAATGGCAACCAAGCTGGTAAGAGGGAAATAGATAATGATGTTTTGAATGAGAATAGTGCTTTAAAATGAGAGCTACAAGGATTTGAGTGGTGTTGGAGGCAGAGTTAACAGAACTCTAGCTGATGGGTTGGGTGGCAAAGAGAAGGAGGAAAGGGAAGGTGGGGGTTGAGTCACATTTTTAGGTTTTTTGTTTGAACAGATGGGCATATTGAAGAACTATTTACTGAGAGAAGCATTTAAGTGGGCTATGGGGGTGGGTGGTAGAGGAGAGCAGGAGCTCTGTTTTGGGACTAAGGGTATGGCACAGTGTATGCTTAGCATGTATGAGGCCCTGGCCTTGATCCCCAGCACCAAAGAAAGTTAAAAAAAAAAATCTCTGTTTTGAGTACGTTAAATTATCATGGACTCTTAATGTGATCAGGTAGAGTTACCAAATTAGTAGTTAGACACAAGTCTAATGTACAGACATTTCTCATTTAGTGACCAGGTCAAGGTCCTGTGATCAGGTCATTAAATGAATTGATCATTCTCAGGAATTGTATATAGTATGTACATTATGATATGCAGAACAAAGAATAAATCAAAGGAAGCTCCTACTTGATGACTTTGCTTTTATTTGCATAACTCTTTCATGTAGTACTGCAGTGTACTGGAACAAAATACAGTACTGTAGTATACAGGACAATCACTGGAAACTACAGTACTTGAATAAACAAGCTGTATCTAGAAAAAAAGACACTCGGGCTCTGTACAGATGTACAGATTTGTATACAAAAAAAGATAAGTTGTAAGTTCAAACAGCGTAGCTTGATCATAGGTCTGAACAGTTGTTAAAACAGGGAGGTCATTAAATGAGGAATATCTGCGTTACTTTAAGAAGCTAGAGAAAAGGAGTCTATGGAACATAATTTTAAATTGTTTATATACTAATTAAGTAGAAATTAGCTGGCACATTGCAAGATTTCCTTTGCATGATTGAAAACTTCAAGATTTTTCATATGTCTTAATTACTACTGGTCATGTATTTTTGCTTCTGTTAAATATTTATGATTTGCTACCCAGCATTGTATTTTACAGTAGTCAGTAATACCTTATGTTAAAAATTATAATGTGGTATATATGCTCGAATATGCTAAATATTACTGTTACAAAAACTATCATGAGATTATTTTAAATATTTTGCAATGTGATTTGCAATTTTCTTTCTTTCTTTCTTTCTTTTTTTTTTTTGGCACTGGGGATTGAACTCATGACCATGCACTTACCAGGCAAGCATTTGAGCCACTGAGCTAAATCCCCAGCCTCTGCAATATTCTATTGGAATAAAAATTCTAATTCTATTCTATAAATAAATCCTTGAAAATTCTTCAGATGCTTAGAATGAAACTCAGAACCTGAAGGTGTGTATGTGTCTGTGTGTGTGTGTCTGTGTCTGTGTCTCTGTGTGTATAACATTGTTTTACATGAGATTCTTAAGTACAGAAACCAGATGTGACTTAACCTGACTTTCAGGCTTTTATTAATTCTATGTTTGCACCATTTTAGGAAGCGGTACAGAAGCTTCTGGATCAGGCTGAGGTACTTTAAAAACCTTTCATTAAGACTTTGAGATCAATTAATATTTCATTAGAAATAGTAATTCCAGCAATGATAATTTTGTGGTGGGCATAGGCTATTTACATCTTGTCTGGATATGTGGAACCACTTTTGTGGCTCTTGGGTTTATATGATGACATTTATTGATGAACAAAGACAAATGGTATTGAATCACTCTGTGGTCTGCACTTGTTTAGGGTCCTTAAAGTGTATATCAGTAGCATCACATCCTGTTAGCCCCAAAAGGTCAATTTACACTAGCTCAGAGTAACTTCTGTTTCTTTCAGTGGTGGTTTGCTAAGTCCTTGAACCCTTTTCGGAATGGATGTACAGAAGGGAAGTCTTGGTGACTGCCCTACTGGCAGTATTGATTCCTGGTCAAAGAGAGTAATGGGTGCCAAGAAAGTATCTCTGGACAATCAATTGCTTGTAAAGTCTTGCTTGCCTGTTACATCTTACACGTGAATGTTGTCAAATGAAGCCATTTTTTAAATTTTTGGTAAAAATATCTGAATATGTAGTTTTGCATGGATTTTTATACTATCATAAAGTCATGGTTATTTTCAGCAATTGGACAGTGGTGCCGCCTGGCAGAACCCAGAACCACCTACAGATTTAAGAGTAATGGAGAAAGATCGAGCCAATTGTCCATTCTACAGTAAAACGGGAGCTTGCAGATTTGGAGATAGGTAACTAATTTTGCTTTATCATGTCAGAATGAAGTGATTCAAAATGGCAAGGTTTTTCATTTCTTTTGGGAGAAGCATGGGCTTCACTTGGAAATGTTCATCATCAGGTGCCTGTGACTTTCTTTCTACTTCTCTGTCTCCCTAGCTGGTTGTCCTCTGTCCACTCCCCCAGCTCTATTCCCTAGGTGGTAGGGTTAACTGGGTGTGTCTTTTGTGATCCATACTCTCAGAGGACCTTTTGCACGTTGCTTGCTTCCTATGCTCGCATGAATCCACAGTGAGCAACTGCCATAGGGAAATATTATATTTGAAGTGATTGGTGCAGCCAAACTATTACTGTTTGAATGGCAAATGCCGTGTTCCAGAATAGGCTTTTTAAGCTCGGCATGTGTAGAAGGATAACATCTGTGAAAGACAGGATCAGAATAAGTAGAACAGAATTGTAAGTCATCACTGTAGGTGAATACGCTCAGATTAAGGAACAGGCCCGTGTCCTGGCTTCAGTGGCTTCTTTTCCTCTCTTCCTACAAAGGGCTGGCCTGTAGCAAACACTCTGTGCTTGCTGGTATTTTCACAATAGTTACTACTGAGATGATTCTCTGGCAGATTCTTACCCCCTGCCTCTTTTGCATCAGGGTTTTGAAGCATGACATTCATGTGGAGATAGTGTTTATCTCTTGTCATTTACAGAATATTTGGCTGCCAATTTAATGGTTATTTTATAATTTGGCTTATTTATGAATGAACAAGTCAAAGTGGATAAATCCTAACCTATCGGAAGCAAAATCTAATGATTGTTTATATATATATATATGTATATATATATATATATATATATATATATATATATATATACTTTGAAAGAGAAGATTCAATCCTCTTTGATGTTTTATTAACCCTAAAAATGGATATGTACAGGAAAATTCATATGTATTGTATGTAATCTCTCAGGTGTATTTTATTCATAAAATTACCCATGTCATGAAGGTTCTTCTTCTTTTGAAAGTATGAACTTTCTCTTTTCTTTTTTAATTTAAACTTTCACATCATTGTTTTCCATTTGTTTCATTTCATTCATAGGCATATGAAATTTGCTTATTCACACACAATTATCACAGTTAACAAAGTATGAGAGTGGTTCAGGTATTTTCATCATTCAGGTGATGAATTGTGACATAAAATTGTGTTGACATTGCTAATTATGAAACCCAGCACCATCCCTTCAGACAAGTACACTGTTCTGCTCCCTTTTACAGCGAGCCTCAGTGACTTGCTTCAGGTGACACAGCTGTTCTTTTTTGTTAAGATTGATCAGATCATTGGAGAAATTTTTCTTTAACCTAAGCATCTCTTTGGTTATTTTATAATTAGTACAGAATCTAATTCTAGAACCTTTCTAGAATTGATATTTTTTGGAGTCATAGCTTTGAGGTGAGTTCTATTTTTTTCTCTTTAACAGAACACAATCACTGAGGAAATATAAACCTTCTTTTTCCAAGTATTTATTTATGTCTCACATAATTTCAGAAGTGATTTAAAGAAGGCTTACAGTCTACTGTATTAAGTTAAATAAAATAAAGGAAATTGAAAGCAAGGAAAGGAGGAGAAAGAATGAGTTGTTGTGAATGTACAGAGCTTCTGACTTGACTGTAATGCATCCCAGGCAGATAATAAGCCATATGATTCTTACCAAAGAGAATGAGTATTATCTTTGGAAAGACAAAGATTTTCCAGACACTAGATTTTAAGTGTATCTCCCTTGTAATCTGGGATAAAGATACTGAATAGCAAGGTGGACAGTCACTTGAACGGATGTTCTGTAATGGTTGATTGGCCTAATTTTCATGAGACTGTTTCTAATGCTGACCTTTGATAAGTGATTGCAGCCTGGCTTGAGTGCCCCAATGCAGTGATTCCATGAAGCGCAAAGGCAGTGAGTACTGGACATTCTCCTCAAGAAGAATACACAGTTGTGCCAGAGAGGCCATTAGGGTAGCCACACCATTCATTTACTGGCATCCTTGGGCTAAGTAATGTTCAACTGTGTCTTTTTCTGGCAATCTCATTCGACTGGAGTATCCAGAGTTAATGAGTATACAGCATATCATAAAACACTGGTTCCTAGACATTATTGATCATAGGGACAGATGAAAAGTTACTTTGAAAATATGGGTTCCCCCTTGAGGATTGATCACATGACCTGGGGCAGGACTGAAGAAGCCTCACTTGTTTCCCAGATAGTTCAGAGAATCGCACAGGATTGGTGCCACAGCTTTAAACTTCCCACTTTCTAACTTCTCTCTTCTCACTAAGTGGTGCAGGGCTGGCCTTTTGAGTACATTCAGATTTTAAGGACTGTCTCCAGGGCAAGTGGGGGTTTTCCTTAGGTGGGGATTTTGGCTTTGTCCTAAAACTGGCAAATGCTCACTGGACAACCTGGGAAGCAGAGCCAAGTTCTGTCAAATCAAAGAATACCATGAGCAGAATTTCAGCCTCACTACATTGGTTCCTTGTTCAATGCTATATGTGTTTCACATTTGGAAAATTTGGGTTCACTGCTAGCATTGCTAACCAGGTTGAATCTTTATTCTTTGTTCTATCAGTAGCAGTACTTGCAAAAGATGAACCTAATTATCAAGCTTCTAGTTGAATAATTAGGGGGTAATTTGTAAAATAGAGAATTTCACATTAATGAACATTGGTTAAACATTGGTAGGCACAGTGTGTGCTTGGCATTCTGTGTAGGTACATAGATTTATATGACAGACATGGAGTGAGCATGATTAAACATTTAGTCATTTTAGGGCCATTATTTCTTCCTGATACTTGCCTATTCTCAACTTTCCTTCCTCAGTTCTTTTTCTCCTATTTTTTTTTTTGTTGTTCCAGGAATTGAACCTAAGGCCTTTAGACTGAGCTACATCTCCAGCCCTTTTAAAAATATTTTATTTCAAGACATAATTTTGCGAAGTTGACATGTTGCCCAAGTTGGGCTTGAACTTTTCACCCTCCTACCTCAGCCTCCCAGAGTGCTGGGATTATAAACATGCACCACTACACTGACTTTTGTTTTTGTTTTTATTTCTGGCTTCAATGCAGGTGGACTATGCATGCTAGGCAAGGTCTCTATTGCTGAGCTAAGTTTTAAATTTGAACACTAACCAGGAAATTTTTATTTCTAACTTTAAACTGAGTATTTTTTCCAATTTAGAAGGAAGTAAATAAAACAATGTAGACTTGCATAAAAGATTAAAAAGATTACCCAAGCCTAGCCAGGTCAGCTTATCCTTCCTCAGTCTAGCTTAAACTTTGAAAGGAAAATTGTTCTCCACAGAGGTTAGCCATCTTTACTGTTATACTCTCCAGTTGGCAGGTACCAGATGGCAGGCTAACTCAGTCTTGGAGCTCTCACTTCTAGCCACGTGACTCAGGCAGATGTGCTTCTCTTAGTTTGAGCTTCCTACTTCATGCAGTGAGGAAAGTGCTAGTACCAACTGTCCTGTCGGTTTGTAAGGGTCAGAAGGGACAAATGTAAGAATAGTATGAAAACTAAAAGGCTGTACGTAGACAAGATTGAAATACTCCATCCGCTGGAAGTTCTGAGATTGTCATATTCTTTAAGCATGTAGGCCGTCTGAGGATTGTGTAGAACCAGGCTTGTGCTGTTAGTTCTCACCATCCTCCCAAGGTGCCATGTGGCATTTCATGCCTGTCACAATACTCTGTCATGACACTGAGTCTTTTTCCTTCTACGGCTCAACATAGAGAAGGCTTTTTGAACTTCATCCAGAGGTACTTGAAAGGCTTATACACTTGGGAATCATCCCTAATCTGACATTTTAATAAGAAAGCCAATATACCGGTGAGTCTTAGGACAGTTTTGTGAGGTGCTAAACTTGGCAAGTTAAGCCAAAGCAGCTAAGTTACTTGAGTCTTTATCTCAGACTTTCAAGCAGGCTTTCTGTTTGTGCCTTTTAACTACTGGACTAGTGAATTTGCTTTGCTTTCCTCTGCAGATGTTCACGTAAACATAACTTCCCCACATCGAGTCCCACCCTTCTTATTAGAAGCATGTTTACAACATTTGGAATGGAGCAGTGCAGGAGGGATGACTATGACCCCGATGCAAGCCTGGAGTACAGCGAAGAAGAGACTTACCAGCAGTTCCTAGACTTCTACGATGACGTGCTGCCCGAGTTCAAGAATGTGGGCAAGGTGATTCAGTTCAAGGTGGGTGTGTGTGGAGGAGGGGCCTGGTGCACCTCACCTGCCAGTGATTAACATGGGGAGAGAGCTGGGGCCCTGCCATTCACATGGGTGGATTGTGCACGGGTAGATGCCTGGCACAGGATCAGCGTGCAAGCGCTTGGGAAATGTTACCCCCAGGCCCAGCTGATGCTGATGTATACTGTTGTGTTTCCTGAGTGCTAGAGTCTAGGTTGGAAAGGACCCTTCATTTATTCATTATCTTTGTGCTGTAGCTCTTTGCCAGGGTTTTAATTCTCTGTATGAGGTTGTCTGCACATAGTTACCTAAGGCTTTGCTGTGCTACTGCCTTTCTCTGTAGATGCGTCAGCTGTAGCTGAGGGGTTTGCACTGTGGTTCCACTCTGCTCACTGAGTCTGCTGCTGGTGTGTTGTGTGTTGTGTTGGTACCCCCTGCTTGGAGCTTCTGCCCAAGAAGCGTGCTTTCCTCTGGAGCTACACAGGGACATCTTGATTCTTACTTTTCCCTCACATTGTTTATAATCTTTGATTACTTTTAGTACTGAACATAGCGTCCTAAGACCATGGTTTGTGATGCAGCATACTAGGTGAAAAGGAGGCGTTCAGATGCCACAGAATTCCTTTACAATATTTCCTTAGCAAGCGTATGGCCAGAGGTAATCCCTCCTGTTCCTAGGCCTCATTAGTTTAACCCTCCTATCTTGTCTGTGATTTGATCAATTCTGAATGCAGATGTCTTTGTTATGTTAGGGCAAAGAAAATCTCTCTTAATTTGAAGAAAAACAGAAATGAAGCTCTGGGTTTTTTCCTGCAACTCAAAATGACAGTGGGGAATTAGAACAGCAAAGAAACAAAAGTATTCATGAAATTCAGTGCTATACTTCTATCAACTGATTTCAAATTTTGAAACATTCTTTGCAAGTGTGTTTACTCCTTAATCTTTTGTTTTTATAGCTTGTGCCTGCCTTTCTGGGTATTCCTCAGTACAAGCAATAGCTGCTCTAATAAAAAAGTACATGGTCACATGTGACGATGACATGTGGAAGCACTAGCCATGGAAGCAGTGTGGCTTGACCAGCCCTGTGCTCTCAGCCACATCATTTTCCCTCTAAATGCTCTCTCCTTGTCTTGAAAGGGAAAGGATTTGATCCTTAACAGCTTCTGTTTGGGGTCCGTGGATCATCCTATCTCTGAAGTGGGAATGCTGGAGCTTTCAAAGCTTCAGACTGGTTAATGGAAATCATACCATTACCCATAGCAGGCCACACCCACTAACCACAAAGATTTTCTTTTGCCTTTGGTTAGAAAGCTGGTAGGATGGCCACACTCATGCTAATCATTTTGACAATTACAAATGGAAGCTATTTAGTAAATTTTTAATAGGAAGATTTCTAGAACATGGCATGCATTAGGGAAAATTAATAATGGGTTCTTAGGACCATAGTAGTAAATGATCTTTAAGGTCCTTGGCATGGCTGATGGGCCTTCCTTTTACTCATTCTTTTATTTGTTTATTTATTCATTCTTCTATGGATGGCGTTGCCACTTGGAATTGAGTATGGATTCTGCCCTTTTTTGGATGGTTCTGGAGCAAATTCATAAAATTATCAATTCATTTTGAAGAAGCTAAATAGTAGTAGAAATATTTGAGGACCTTTTTATGTACCATTATATAAAAACAAAGGAAAATTGTCATTTTTGAAAGCAAATGATCAAATGTTCAGCTCAACTAGTAATAGGAAGAGTACATAGGAAAATGAGGTATTATTCCTACCTTTTGGTCAGCAAGTTATAAATTCTATTAATCCCAAGAGTAGGTGAGGATGTATGTGCTAGTAAAACCACTCCAGAAAGCAGTTTTCCAGGGCAGAGTTAAGTGGAAGGTATGCATAACCTACAAAGTGGTGTGCTGATCCTGGTCCTGGCACCCATGGAGATGAGTGCAAGAATGCTAGCCGCAGCACCATTTGTAGGTAGAAAATTGGAAGAACCTTGGACAGGAGTGAATACATTAATCTGTTAATTTGATTTATCTAATATATGTTAATTGGGTCATTTAGTTAACATTATTACATCTTGGAAAAAAAGCAATGTGGAATAAATACCATTTATATAAAATTTTAAAATAAAAAAGTATGCATTGCTTGCCAGTGCATATGTTGCTTTTGTTTGTTTGTTTGTTTTTATTTTTTTGGTACCAGGAATTGGAACTCATGACCTTCTGCTTACCAGGCAGGTACTGTGCTGCTGGGCTATATCCCTAGCACCTCCTCCCAGCTTTTTTGTCTTTTTGAGACAGGATCTCACTATGCATTTCAGGCTGGCCTTGAGCTCACTTTGTATACTAGGCTGATCTTAAACTCGCAATAATCCTGCCTCAGCCTCCCGAGTGCTAAGATTACAGATGTGTGCCACCACACCCAGTTTGTTTTGCTTTTTTGACACAGGGTCTTACTATGTATTTTAGTCTGTCCTTGAACTCACTGTGTAGCCTAGGTTGGTTTTGAATTTGCAGCAGTTCTCCTGCCTCAGCCTCCTAAGTGCTGGCTTATAGACATGTGCCACTATGCTTGGTCTGCACATACATTTCTTTGTGTATATGTGCATATGCATTTTGCATAGTGGACACACATTTTCATATATGATGCATATATTTTTTGGCATACAGATGATGTGTATATGCTATATGTGTGTATGTGTAATTTGTGTCTGTGTATCTATATATGTACAGTGTGTGTGTGTGTTTGTGTTTAAAATATCCAGCCTCCAGGTAGTGCCCACCTGTGTGATGGAAAAGAATAGGATAGAAAAGCTGCAGCTGGGTTTTCAGTGTTTTACTTAGTTAAACATTCCAATATTAGTGTGAATTCTCATATTTTAATGCCTGTGAAACATTTCATATTTCTGGGAAAAAAGACAGACCTTGATCAACAGAGATCAGATAACTGAGGCCTCTAGTGCTGTTATGTGCTGAAGTATGCTTAGATACAAGAGTTGGCTACTATTATCTCTTGGAATCTTTGTCTGGTAATTAATTACTTTAGGGAATGCTAGCTTGGACAAAGAGCATTTGATGACTGGATATTTTTTTAATTTTATTTATTCATTTATTTTTTTGTGGTACCGGGGATTGAACTCACAACCTCATGCTTGCCAGGCAGGCGCTTACGCTGCTGAGCTAAATCCCCAGCCCATGACTGGATATTTTATTTAAAATTTTTTTTAATGATAGCATTCTTCATTGTTCCTTAGGTTAGCTGCAACTTGGAACCTCATCTGAGGGGCAATGTCTATGTTCAGTACCAGTCGTAAGTATTATGCACATAAATGTCTTCATGTTTTGTCATAGTATAATTTTATTTTTGTTGATGTCTGGGACTTTTCCACTGATATATAACTTTCATAGGCATTTTTCAAAAATACAAGTATTAAGAGCTGAAATGGCAACAAAGAAGCAATTTGAAAATAATACATTTGTGTTTCTTACTTTGTGGTACTACAAACTACAAACTATGTAGTACTACATAGTTTTGAATCTTTTACAACATGGTTCTATTGCTATGTATATACTTTTAATAATTAAAAAGAAACTGAAAATGGATAACTAGAATAGAGAAGATAAAATCTAAAGAGCTAGAGATTGAAACATAGAATTATGTTAGTGGGCATTTGACTAGCTAGGAGAGTAGTTACTGTATAGCTTCGGCTCATCTTGCTGTTTGCCTAGTCACACCATGGCTAATGGGTTCAGTTAAGCATGGTAACACGGAGCAAAGCAGACCTAAGTGAGAAAGCAAAGGTGCTAACAATAGAAACAACCTCTGCAATTTTAATGGTCCAGTCTTGGATTAAGAAGATTTGACTCAAGCCAATTTCCATGCATCCAAACCTCTTAGCGTGTTAGGAAAAAAGATTCCTGAGTAAATTGTGAGCCGCTGGAGGCTGAATGCTCCAATAAGGACTCTTCAACTGTATAAAAACAGTGAACTTGGTGGTCCTACAGTAAATGAATAAAGCTATTCATTAATAATAGGGTCTGTCTACCTTAATAGTATAACTCTGAGTTAACCGTAAATCATATCCTTTGATTTTTGGTTTAAAGGGAAGAAGAATGCCAAGCAGCCCTTTCTCTATTTAATGGACGATGGTATGCAGGAAGACAGCTTCAGTGTGAATTCTGCCCAGTGACCCGGTGGAAAATGGCAATTTGTGGTAATGATTTTTCCTCAGTTGCCCCACTGTTATAAAAAGGGTTATTTTGGGGGTAGGGGGCAACATTTTATGAGATGAGGCATAGCTTTTGCTTTATGTAGATCAGCAGAGATATTATATAAAGGGCACTACAGTTAAGATCTGTGACAGATCTTGTGGGTCACTGTATAGGTGAAGTGACTAAGGACACAATGTATCAGTGACAGGGTCAGGACTAGAATTTTAGTCTTTTGATCTTCAGTCAGAAACACCTGTCTGACAATTTAGGAAGCCTAAGAAGCGTCTTTAGGCAACCTCATTGTCCTTTTTGCAGTTTTGGAGCTGTTTTCTATATATTGGATCTCTTCACTTTTGAGTTGTTCATTCCATCCTTATCCGTAAGGACTCTTCCACTGTCATTACCACCACAAACGTTACCTGTGAATGGCATTTTGCACCTTACTTGATATCACGCCTATGGTCCTGTAGGATCAGTTAAGTGTGCATTCAGCATGTTCAGTTAGATTGCCTCATTGGACAGTGACAGCCGAACCAGGAAGTGACTTGGCACTCTAGCCCACTGTGCTAGCTGGAGAGCAAGCAGCTTCAAAGGCCTAGTCATTTTTGATTTCTAAAAGTGGCCTTGGCCAGAGCACTGTGGAAGTCCCCCAGATGAACAGTTAATGCCTCAAGGGTGCGTGTGTCTTTCCCTTTACTTACATTTCTTTGTTCTATGCTCTCACCTGCTGAAAATGTCTTAGTAAAAAATACATAATTTGTAAAGTCTGAATCTTTAGTAGCTTTGTAGCTACTTTAGTAGATTAATGGATGCTGTCATTTGACCACCATTTTTTATGAAGGGTGAAAAAGATTTTAGAATTCTTTGGCTTAAAACCAAAAGAACTCTTACATCCTAAGTTTAAAGGCTCAGGAGATGAAAGAGATGGAATTGTTTTACTCACAAAGGCAGTTACTTGTGCCATTCCTGGGAATCCAGTCATTGATTTCAGGGAGGTACTTCTGAATATGGCTTGGACGGCTTCAAAGCAGTGTACTTTGTTTTTTTTTTTTTTTTTAAGTCACAGCTTTGTTGTTATACTCAGCAATTAATAATGTTGAACATCTTTCTGTGTTTTTGTTACTGGGCATTTGATACCATCTTTGGAGAGAATTCTGTTCAGACCCTTGGTCCATCTTCAATTAGGTTGTCTTTACTGACTCATCAGAGTTCTTCTTGACTTACTCTGCCTGCAAGTACTGGTCACAATATTATCTGCAAATACTTTTTCCCTTTCTGTGTGCTTTGTACTTTGTGTCCTTTGAAGTACAAAAAGTTTTGTGAGTTTTTTTTTTTTTTTCCTTTCTGGCTTGTACTTTTTGTATTGCTTAGCTCAGGTTCACAAATATTTACCTGTAGTATGTTTTCTTTAGTTAATTGCATCGTTTACATTTAGATCTTTGATAGTTTACATTAATTTTTGTGTAGAACATGTGGTATAGAAGGTATTTCATTTTGTTTGTCTTTTTAAGTTTGATAATCCCAAAAAGATTATAGCCGGTCCAGAAGATCTGAGTAGTTCAAATAGGATTTAGCTTTTGTACTAAAAGGACTTTATAAATTTAAGGCCAGTGTTTATCATCTTATTCTTAAAATGTAAAGAACATGCAGCCTCCTCTACCTACGCCTTTTGACTAGTAGATCTGTTCTGCAGTTAACATGCCCTCAAAGCATGTGGCTACATGTACCCTGAGTTCTGGTCTTTTAATAAGGGATGAAAATGGTCACTCAGTGGAGGGTGAAGCTTTAGGAAGGAAAACACGGTCACCACATTTTCTCTTGCACTGTGTGTTACAATAGGGACATAGGATATTCTGGTTAATTAAAACTTCAAATGTTACCTATCTGAGTGCCATTTATTAAGCATTTGAATATTTTTGGAATTTTGGGAACCATGCTATTACTTCAGTTTATGTAAGCCTCTCTTAATTACTAAAACGAAGGCAAAAGTTGAAACCTGTCCAGCACCAGAAGTGCAACTTTGTGAAAGGGTAAGTGCCCCACGTTTGGAACATGCAGCAGTGACTGTCGTTTCATCACCGTCATGCAGGTTTATTTGAAATACAACAGTGTCCAAGAGGAAAACACTGCAACTTTCTCCATGTTTTCCGAAATCCCAACAATGAATTTTGGGAAGCTAATAGAGACCTCTACTTGTCTCCAGATCGGACTGGCTCCTCCTTTGGTAAGAACTTAGACAGGGGGAAGAGGGCGGGCCACCACGACGATTACTATGGCAGGACCAGGAGGAGAAGAAGCCCTAGTCCAGACCACTCCTACAAGAGAAACGGGGAGTCAGAGAGAAAGAGGAGAAGTGGTCACAGGGGGAAGAAAGCTCACAAACGCTCAAGAAGTCATGAGAGGCACAGTTCCCGAAGTAGAGGAAGAAAAAGGAACCGCAGCCGGAGTAGGGGCAGCCAGATGCGTAGGGGCAGCCAGAAGCATAGAGGCCACCGGAGCCGAAGCCGAAGTCGCAGCAGGAGTAGAAGCAGAAGCAGAAGCAGGAGTCGGACCCGCAGTCGCAGCCGGAGCAGGAGCAGGAGCAGGAGCAGGAGCAGGTCTAGGTCCAGGTCCAGGAGTCGTGCTGGCAGGAGATCACATAGTAGAGACAGAAACATTCAGAGTCCCAAATCCAAATAAAGCTGTTTTGTTCTTAAATGATTATATATCTTATTATGGGTGCTGCATACCTGGATAGAAGGTTATAAGCTTAGCTGGGTTTGTGAGTCTGGGCGTGGAATCCTTTTTAAAAATACTTTTATTCTTTAATAATTACAAAGTGTATTTAGTATGGAAAACCCAATAACATGAACATTACTTGTAATTCTAACCCTGAGAGAATTGACACTAGGCATTGATTGCTTTAGTCTTTCTGACTTTGAATGCCTGTCACAAGAAATAGTTTGTTGAAGTCTGTTTTATTTTTACTTACTGCATAGTGTATATCTACTACTTTACTCAACCACATCCTTACTGTAGTTTTAATTTCAAGGTAACTGAGACTAATCCTGTGATGGGTTTCCTTAACTTTTTCCACACATTTCTGATCACTTCCTTAGGATATATTACATCAAGATCAGTATTACATTTCCAAACTACCTTCCCAAAAGACTACAGAAAACTTATTACCAACAATAAACTTTGCTCCTTTCACAAGTTACAGCCATTGATTCTTGTTTGTCCTTTTTAAACAATGGATGTAAAAGCTGAACAGTCTTTATGTTTAAAGTTTTTCTGTTTTAAAGTACTAAAAGGTAGAGTCCTTTTGTCCCCTTCAATACTATACCTGCAGCCCTCCCCTCTTAGCTGGGAGCTTTCTGCCAGGATATTTATCTTATTTAAATAATGTATTAGAAAATTCTTTATATATGGATATGGTTTGTCATTTAAAGTCACAGCCAATGAACATGCCTAGTGTCAAGGCAATTCTGATGTAAAAATTAAAGAATAGTCAAGAGAACCTAATGTATAACATTTCAAGCATATTATCCCCACTTTTCAGACCATAAATAAGCAAACATGTTCTTACTCCTTATAAATTTATGACTTTCTTTCCGTTGACATACTTTGGATCTTGAATTTCAGGATACGTGGTATTTGGCAATTTGAGATTTGGAAATAGAATTTTAAAATGCAAAAATACTGAAAAAATGGCAGAAATTAATGGATTGAGAGTTCTGTGATGTTAAATATGAGCGTTATTTAATGTGTAGCTAGTAAGTATATTATTTTAAGGAATCATATTTGTTCCAGACTTAAATGACCGCTTCACCCTAAAACTGAAAATTTTTGGATTTATTAGCTCTAGTGCTAAATAATTTTCACTAAAGTATTTTTAATACTTTTTCTAACTACAGCCAAGATTATATGACTAAATATAGTATGCAAAGGTATTTTTGTGTGTGTTATTGATGACTGAACCCAGGGTCTCAGGTATACTAGGCAAATGTTCTACCAGAGCTACATCTGCAGCCCTGAAGTTGAATATTCTAAAGTCATGGGAGGAAAAAAGAAAACTGCCTTCTGACCTTAAGACAACTGTGATATTGATCTTGTCCTATAAATGTTAATGGATCATACTGGAAAGAGGGAGGGAAGTTATAAACCTCTGACTGGTTCTCTGGATAAGTGTCCATCTTGAGCTTAAATTTATTGTTAATATCTTCTTTTTTGGTTTTTTGTCTTTTTCCTGTTTATTGGTACCCGGGATCGAACTCACGACTGCCTGCTTGCAAGGCAGGTACTTACGCCGCTGAGCTAAATCTCCAGCCCCCTATTGTTAATATCTTTATACACAGAACCTGATTACTATTTATGACTGAAAGATTCCAAGTCTACATTGCTGGTAGAAGGCCACAGGATTTTTAGGGAATAGGTGCACTGACAGGTGCTTTAAACTTGTCTCTTTAGTAAACTATCAGTTTCATTCTATTTCTTCCCTTGCCCTTAAATATCCAAGTTTTAGAATGTAACATCTCCTATCTGCAGTAATAGGAGACCCCTTAACTATTAATGATAACCAAAGTTTTACTTTGTCCCTTACATTAGGTAGCATGGTCTGCAAATATGTTCGTTTCTGCTGCACATGCTAGCACTTCCTGTTACATGGGAAGCTAGAGGAACTGGGTTATTTGGAATACCTTTTTACTTGTGATGATCTCAAGTGTTAGTTCAGAAAGGTAGAAATGCCAAACACATCAAAGTTTTTAAAGCAGTATCTATTGATTGAAAATAGATGCGTTGGTAAGCTCTTGGTAGTGTGGAATCCACGTATTCTTAACAATGAATTTGAAGTGAAGACTCCTTGAACCAGCTCTTATTTGTGTGTGTGTGTGTGCACTTTGGGGGATAGGTAGAGGGGAATTTTCAACATTTTATTGGGAAAAAATCTTCCTCAGCAGTCTTCTGGTTTGACAAACTTTTGATGAGAGAAAAACACACTACAGTGTTTGTAGTTTGAACTTTATTACAACTAATTGGCGATGTGATAAGACAGTGCTCACGAGGCCTGAATGTTGGTCACAATCACAACAAAGCTTAATCCAGCCGAGCATATACAAATGAAAGTATAAACCATAAACACAATATTTAGATATGTATAATGATGTATAAAAGTGATGCTGAACAATTACATAACTTTTAAAAATATAGGGCCACCTAATGCCATTTTACTTCATTCAATTTTCACCTTATATGAAATGTATCTTTTTTCAATGTTTTGTAAGATTTCTGATAACTAGGCAGTGCTATGAGAGGAAAGGAAGTTGCTGTGAAGTGTGCAGCACTTCTAATTGGAAAGAAGCAATAGGGAAGCAAAATAAATTTGGCTTTAACAAGCACTCTAGAAGGAATATTCGTGCTTTAAACAATGACTTTCTGCAACACTGAAGAAAGCGGTGTTTCTGTAAGATATTGTTATGGAGAATTTGTGGTAAATTTACATTCCCGCTTTATTTGGGGTATCAGAAGCAATCCAAACAAGTAACTAAATGATTAGGACCACAAAAATTCATCTTAGCAGTCAAATGTGCCTTGGCCTTAAAAATTATGTGCTCACTAACATGAAGCAATCTTTGTTCCTTGTCCCATTCACTCAGAATGTTTAGGAAATAATTCTAGTGTAAAACAGCATCAATCCAATTTAGTCATCTAAAATAGTGTGTATTCCCTTTATTTTAAAGTATGTAGAGTCCAATAAGGTATAAATTTGTTTTTTTGTGTGTGTTTTGGTTTTAACTTAAATTTTCATTTTATATGTGACATGTTAATTCCCTTTATTTGTATTATATAAAATAAAATGCTGCATTAGTCTTTGGTTTCATAAAACCAAGTTTCACATTGTAATTTGTGTCCATTTGTGTCCTTTGTCAAATACAGTTAATAAATGCGTATTGTTAAACTGTTTGATATACATGTATACAGATGTGTCATTTTCATATAATGCACATAATCATGAGAAACGGACCTGTAAACTTTTAAAATATCCAGAATACATATCTTTATCTTTCAAATTCATATTTATATGAAGTCCCTTATCACTTGATTAACTAAACTTCCCTTTAAAAAAATTGCGCAGGCCTAAATGAAGCAGCTTAGCGAAACAGTAATGCTGACAAGACATCTTACACCATTAGCTAACATGGACATGAAGGCAGTGACCATCTACAGTGTGTGAAATGCCACAGGAAGTCAGCAACAAGGGAGGAGAGTTATGTCAGTCCAATTTCTTCAAGAACACTACGTGGGGTTTCAGCTTCCTGTGGAGGGAAAATGTGAGACTCTGGTAAGCAGATCCAGGGAGGGAGTCTTAATGTGAAAAGCTGACATGGAGGACATGCTTCTTTTAGAGAATCAAGAACAATTTGTGGTTGCAGGAGCTATCCACTATCGACAACCAGTTGTCATTCAGGGTTTTGTGCCCAAAACATTGGAGCCCACAGAAGGCTATTTTTAGCATTCAGTAATACTTACTGGTTACTGAGCAGTGTGCTGGGCACCACTGCTATAACAAAAAGCAGTCAAGCCCAATGCAAACTCACTAGAAGTATATGAAATCACTGCTCTTCAGTTACATAAAGTATAGAAAAGGTTATCTTAGTGTTAAAATTCAAAACTTCCAAATAAAAAGAAATACCCCCTTTCCAACCCAGCTCAGTTTCTATAATGCTTCACTTGTTTTCCATGCTTAAAAAAAAGGTCACACGTATTACAGAGATACCTTCCCGTTGTAATTTTTTTTTTATCGGTACTGGGGATTGAACTCAGGACCACACACTTGCAAGGCAGGCGCTTAATGCCGCTGAGCTAAATCCCCAGCCCCCCCTTGTAATTTTTATATAACTGTCTTTAGAGACAGCCACGTTCCCCGGCCATACAACACTCTGCAACAAAAGGCACTGTTGACTTATCTAAACAACCAGTATTTGTTTTTAAATACCAAAGAAAGACAAAGCAGCTACACTTACAAAAACTGTTCTTAAAAAAAACCCAAAATAGCTAATTTTGCACATCACAGAATAAAAAGGAGCCATGTAGGTCAACTTTAGGCGTTACTAGCAGTTTTGTAATTAAAAAGGCAACACTATTTTAGTGGAGGAAGTCAATGTAAATTTTTGGTAGCCAATATAAACTTACTTTTGCATCCTAATTGTGGCACAGCACAAAACAAGGAAAAGAAAAATTACGTTAAGTCATAAATCCATGGAGCATTAGATTTAATTATATGTAAGGCACATTATGGAGTAATCCTAAATTACTTAAAGCTATATGGTCTGTTTCCATATTTGGAAAATAAGAATAGTACTTACCTTCCTATGTTGATATTAATTGAGATAAAGGCTCATTGTCTGATTTATAGGAAGTACTGCAAAAAATATTAGCTGATAAAGTGACACATCTGAAATCTAAATGAAGGTACTTAGCATTTAGTACTGAATTAAAGTACTATAACTAAAAATATTCGTATGTCCTATTAGTATGTTTGTACAATAATGAAAAATGGATAAAAACCAGCTTTTACTGAAAAAAAGGTATTTGTTTCAAAGGCAGTGTAATCTATAGTGTACTTGCCCTGCCCTTTCCAACTTAACTTCAATCAAACCAGGTTACAGATTTAAATAAATCTAGATGAGGGATAAATAAGTTAAGCTTTGCTACAAGAATACAATCAGCCAAACATAGAATGTAGAAAATTATATGGCATAAATGAATAAAGAAATAGCAAGAGGGACAAAGCAAAAGGCTCATTAAAAATTCAGAAGATTTAGGACACATCAACCAGATGTAAAGTGAGCCTTGTTTGGAATCTGGTTCTAATAAACACAATTTTTAAAAAGGCATTTTTTCCCCCAGACAAGGATAAACTGGCATAAGATAGTAGAATGAATTCATTTTGTTGAGTATGCTACTTATCTGTCAGGATGACAGGATGTCTGGGGCTTGCTCTAAAATACTGAAGCAAAACCGGAGGGCAGAGCTTGAGGAAGCATCATTAAGTGGATGGCTGTTGAAGGTGAGAAGTATGTACATGACGGTTCTTTGTAGTACTCCCTGTATATGCGTCTTGAAATTTTCATATTTTCAAGCATTTAAAGACTAGTGGAAATGATGCAATTCGCCCAATAGTGATATATGCCAATCTTTGCCATTTATTGTTTAGCTTTAATACACTGAGTGACACCTTTGTCACATAAATACTAAATAGAAGAAGACTTCATTTAACCTCTAATATGTTAATTAAAAGACTTTTACACTGAATTCTGTAGTTTGCATTTTCAGCTTGCCCAGGTAAAAACAGTTGACAACTATTCCCTGGATCTGGTCATACTTCTGTGTGCTCACTGCCTGAAGTCTTCTGTAGCATTTCCTGAAGAGAAGCATGTTTTACTTTTTGAATATAATTATTTACCACACTTGTCCTTTCTAAAAGGCCTGTTTCATTTATACATTTTATTCCTTTAAGTCTGTACAAACAGAAATTTTACAATTTTTTACAATATAAAATGTAATTTCCCCATGTTTATACTAAAACTGTACCTACAAATTACCTAGAAAAACTATTATCTAAAGTAGTAAAAATGATATAAAGAGAAAATAGAGTAGGCCTGGGAAAGAGAGAAATGAAGAATAGTTGAATTATGGGTACAGTTTCAGTTTTGTAATATGAAAAAGTTCTAGAGATGTGTTGCACAACAATGTGAATATATGCAGCACTACTAAACTGTACACTTAGAAATGGTTAAACTGGTGAATTTTATGTTTTTTAACCACAATTAAAAAATACCTAGAAAATGAAAATATAAAATGTTATTTTATCAAAAGGGATGGAGAAAAAAGTCATTCACATGAGACAAAGTACATGCAATACTTTTATTTTAGACATGCAAAAAAAGCTATTTCAGAATATACTAATTTAGAGCAAGCAGCTGTATACATATAACAAAAGCAACATTTTGTTACAACTCAGCACACAGCATCCAAAGCCAACAGGCATGAGACAATGCATATTTATGCAGCCTTAAAATCAGATGAACAACATATTGCAGGGCAGGGTGAGGGGTGGAGGAAGGGGGAAAGGAAATGAAAGACCAATGTTTCCCAGTGCTTCCAATGTAGTCTTACAGCAAGAACAGTAAGAACTGAAATAAATAATTTGTATACCTGCCTAACACTAAGTTTGTTCACACCATATTTTTATAGGTCTTCCAGTTTTGAGTATTTTCTTGTCTTTTTCTTTTTTTTTTCTGTTTTTTCAGTACTGGGGATCGAACTCATGACTGCCTGCTAGCAAGGCAGGTGCTTATGCTGCTGAGCTAAATCCCCAGCCCCAGTTTGAGCATTTTCTAAAGTTACTGTTTAATGACAACTTACTTAACTCAGGCCTTACATTCTGTAGATACTATGATTTGGTACTTTTCCTTTCATAACATGCTACAAGTTTTATTAAAAGCATACATAATAGTAATCAATGTTAAAGATTTTATTATTCAGAAATATAAAACCTATAGTTAACAAAGCATTAGATAACATCAATTCATACAGACTATACGATGATCACACTAAATAGTTTTTCTCAATAATTGAATACCAAGCCACTCTAAATACTATGGTATTGCTTATTTTGAGAATTTTTGTTTTGTTTTGTTTTTTGGTGCCAGGGATCGAACTCATAATCTCACGCTTGCCAGACAGGTGCTTGTGCCACTGAGCTATATCCCCAGCCACTAACACTGTTTATTTTGTTGGACCACTTCAGCCGTATTTTCTTTGGTAACTAATATTAACGATTGCCGTGTTTTTTGTATATGTGCATTTAAGATAAAAATACATAGGACATATTTTGTCAGGAAGAAATTAAACTAGTTGTAGACAGGAATAAGCTATATTCAGATCACATACAGACAAATAGGAAAGAAAGTTATGAACAGGAAAAAAATACAATTGTAAAGATATTAGTTATGAAATGTTCTATAATTATTTTACACAATAATCAGTCACCATGCTGAGGATATTTTCTTTCATAAGTATATCAGCTCTCTATTTCCTCTGGGAAATTCTGCATACTTGATGAGTAGTCATTTAGTACACAGGGACATTAAAATATTCATGACGTGGCTACAAGAGAAATGCATATATTCTTACACACAGTACACAAACTGATACAGACACAATCAGATTTCTAGAATGTTTTGTTCATGGTAAAGTTGCCTAAAACTCTTTGGTTGCTTTTGTTCTTTGGCTTATGGCTGAACATGTAACTTCTTCAACAATGCCCAGGAGTTCAGATTTTTCTTGTGCAACTTTATATAACAGTAACAGTGATCACCTACAACTAAAAATATCTTAAAGCATTTTATTTACTAGTAACACCGTGAAAAAAGATTTTCAGGTTAAGTCATCTAGTCAGAGCTGAATTAAGTGAAAAACAGAATTAAATCCTTCTGTCAGTGCTTTACAGTCATCAGGATTTTATCACAGGAAGTAGAGATCCCAGAGGAAAATCTTCCAAGAGAAAAATAGAAAGTAGACACCCATATGGTATTTTAAGTATCAATAAAGGCTTTTAACTGGTCACTTAGCTACAAAACAGTAAGTCCAGTGAATGTGACTTTGAGAGTAAGAATATTAACTTTAAAAAAATCCTCAAATTAGACTTTAAAGAACTCTCTAAACAAAATTGTTAAATGTGTCTGCCTACAAATTTCTGTCACAAGATGTTTCCCACATCAACAAGGAAAACCTGAAATAGGGTTTAAACTGATCTTGTCTGTCTCCCACAAATTTCTTGAAATTACATGGAAAATTTTGTATATTCCTTTTAATATTTATTCAAGCTTAAAATCTGAGATATTTGGCTACAAAAGCATGTAAAAATTGTTCCTCCAAAATCAACAGATTCCTATATTTATACAACCATTAAATACAGTATATTTAAAGATAAAATCTAGTTATAATTCCTAAACATTTAAAGGAGATAGCTACTTGTTTTCCACTCTAAAATAGATAACAGTGAAATTAAACAGCAAGCAATTAAATATTAATAATAAACTGACCCCCCAATTTATTTCTTTACAGAAGCTTTTGTTTTCATAGGGAAGTTCTACTTTACCAATGGTATTAGCAAATTGCAGCATTTAATGAATACTTTTTTGCCAGTGAATCTCCAAACCTATTTCAAATATTATTCTGCATAAAAAATAAATTACAACTCCCAGTGACTAATCACTATCAGAGCAAAATTCCCTATGAAAGCATCAAT